TTAGCTATAATTTTCCCACTAAAAAGCTTCACTTCTTTTATTTAGAGCTTATAATTTCTTTCCAACAATGCCAGTAACATTTCGGCGCAAAATAAAAAGAAAAAATTATTTATTTAAAAATAACGCCGAAATAAATAATATTTTTTTGGATTTCCCCCAAAAACGTTTCTTGAAAAGAATTTTCCCTCAGGACATTCAAACTTTGACAAACTAATTTTATGAAAATTCTTTTATGAACTCAAAGACCAAAAAATAATTTCTTTTTAAAAAATGTTAAAAACTGTTAATTTAATTGTTGAATTTATTTTCTATAAATAGTTAAAAAAATAAATTATGTAAATAAAGTTATTAAAAAATTATTAAAAAACTATTAAAAACCTCACAATCTACTTTTTTAAGAATTAAATTTTTTATTCATTCTAAAGGCAAAATTTTTGAGAATTTTGTGCCCGCCAAAGGCAAAAATTTTCTATAAAAAATTCACGTTTTCAGCCTCTGATTGATGAAAACTACAATTATTTTTGGAGAGCTGTGATAGACTATTTCGCAGGGCGAAACAAAATGGAAACAAAGGCATGGAAAAGCGAAACAAAAAAAAATTTCATCCATCCCTGATCGGGGATGATTAGACCTTTGATATGTAACAAAATAAAAACGGCCAAGTATGAATTCTTAGATTTCAAACAATAAAAAATAGATGGAAAGTTTAAGCTTAATTATTGGATTAGAAAAATTGTAATTAAGTAAATGAAAGAAATAAACATAAATACCTAGTTTATTTAGAATAATTATTTTTATTAAATATTAGGTATATAAAATTAAAAATGTATATTCTTTAGAAAATATTAAATTTAGTCCCAAAACTAGTAGTTATTGCCTAGAAAAACTAAAAATAGAAATTTATATATGTATGAGGGTGGATTTCATTTACAAAAGGAAAAATTAAATTAAAAACAAAATGAAGTTTTTACTTTTAAAGTTTTTTTTAAAATTATTTGGGAAAAAATAATTCAAAATGCAATATGAGAACAATTTAAAAATAAATAAATAATATTAAATTTAAAAAATTAATTGGTTTTATATATAAATTGTTTGTAAAATAAATTTCGATCAAAATATTTATTCTTAAATTATTCTTGGCTTAATAAAAATTCTATGTATCAATAAAATAACCAATTTAGATCTCTAAATTGTTAAATTTCGAAAATCAAATATGTTTTTATAGGAAAACTAGATATATGTATTTATGTTACAAAAATATTAGGTATAATTACAAATAACTATAAAGCTTTTTAAACTTTTCAAATTTTCACCTTCTGTGTGTTGACAAAAATTATTACATAATTTAAAAATTAAATAACAAAACTAAACAATATTTAAAATTAAAAATAGGTAAATTAACTGTAAATTGTTATTTGTTTTTTACCTAAGTCCCGAATTACTTGAATTTTATTAAGTGCTTTTTATGAGTACATATAATAAATATTTATTTATTTGTACTTTTATTTTTTAAAAACTAAACAAATAATGTTAAAAGAATTTTATAATTAATTATAATCTTTAAATTAAAAAGATAATTAAATAAAATTTAGGTAAATGACTAGATTAAAGTTTATACCTAACACTAAATATAAAAGTGCTTATATTTTCTAAAATAATTAATTGCACAACTATAAAATAAAGTCATTTAAATAAAATAAAAATCTGTTAAACTTAATAAATATTTATTTATTTTGTGGGTAAAAATACTTATGTTTTTTTTTGAGAAAATAATAAAATGTGTGTGTGGTAAAACATAATTATTTTAGTCTGGTTGGTTGGCTTTTGATGTTTTAAAAGTGTCAGTTGTTTATAAAAAATTTTCATGTGTTTAAGAAAAGTTTGTGGGAAAATAAAAAAAATTTTTTTTGAGTAAAATTGGAGGAAAATATGTATATTAATTGTGGGAAATTGTAGATTTTTAATTAAAATATTTAAAATAAATAAAAAATTATTATAAATAAATTAGCAATTTAGTAAACTATTGTATTTCAAAATATTTAAAACAATTGTGGTTCTGCTTTTAAAATTCCATTTTGTGTTTTAGTATATTGGAAATTTTGTTCAAATAGAAGCTATTTTTTATTTTCAATCAAGTATAAATATCTACTATTTTATTAAAAATTCATCTTTATATTCTAATTGGTTTCCGGCTTTAACTTAAATTTAAAAAAAATAAATCATATATAAATTATAATAGAAATTAATAGTGTACTATCTAATTTAAGAATATATAAAAATCATTGTTATGATAAATCTTTTCGCCATACTCGAGTTCTTCTGAAACAAAAACTACGTTGATTTCTAAATCAGAAGACATCATCGATGATAAGAATTAATAAGCAAATTAACAAGTAACAATTGATCACTCACTCATTTAAAAGTCTGAGAGATTATGTGGTTATATTTAGTAACTAGAAACCGGACCAAGACTAGTCTTGAACGAAATCTCGGTTATTGAAATCGGTTTTCGTACAACCCGTCAGTCCGGCCTCCTTTATAAAGATTAGAGGTTTTCCAAAAATTACCTGTGCATCATTGATATTTTCTCTTAATTTATTTTGTTAATTTTTCTAAAAAATTTTTATTTTAGTTATTACTTAAATAAACTTTTTTTATTTTATTTGTTTGCACAACAATAAGTATATATTGTGAGTATTTGTTTTGTTTTTCACAGTAAATTTACTTATTTTTTTTTATTTTTCTCTTTCAAAAATCGCGCTCTTCTTTTTTTATTTTTTAAAGGTTTTAGAGGTTAGGGACTTTTTTTAGTTTAGTTTTTTTCTTTATTTTCTTCAAAACTATTTTAGTTTTGGAGAAAATTATCTACTAATTTTCAAAAAATAAATTTACCTATTTATAATATCTTAACAATTTTTTACTGATTTCTTAACTAAAAATGAATATTCTCTTACAATATTAAAGAAAAAATAAACTTTAATTTATTTATTTTAGGGAAAATAAAATCACTAAAAAATAACTTCCAAATTATCATTTAAAGGAAAATCTTTTTCATTAATTATCACAAAAGAATTATTTTAAAGATTAAATTATTATTTAGAAAATTGAGGTGATTTATTTAGAAAAAAAGAAACAAAATATAAAATAAAAATAATAGAAATTTAAAACCCTCAAAATACAAAAGAATTTTTATATAAAATTTATTTTATAAAAAATCTTTTAAATATAAGAAAATGAAATTCGAACTTTGTTATATTTTAAAATTATTTTTTTATTAAAAAATTAATTTTGCTACTTGAAAAGTAACAAAAATAAAGTTTTTTTATTTCAATTTAAATACAAAATTAATTTTAATTTATTTATTTAAAAAAGAACAAGTTTTATTTTAAATCCCCTCTCTTTTCAAAGATTACTCATTTCCCAATTTTCTTTCCAAATTTGTTTAATTTAAATTTTACAAAATTTTTTTTTCAATTTTTCTCTCCTTTCTGACATCCTTCAATAAATTCACTATCATTTTTACTCATCATTTCATGCGCGAGACTAATCCCCTCGTCCTCAATATGCAAAAAATGAGAAAAATAAATAAAAATAATTTTTTAGATATTTTTTAATATTTTTTATTTATTTTTATATAGATGAATTTTTACATTATTTTTGCTTTAAAATAAAATAATAAATAAATTATTTGTTAAAAAATATATATTTTATTTACCTAATCATTAAATATTTATTTTTCACTTAATTTTCAATCCCTTGATGTCTAAAAAACACAATAAATTTTTATGGTTTCGCTAACTTTTTTAGATAAATACATATATCTATTTTATTTTTAATTATAAAATTTATTATAAAATACTTTATTTAAAATAATTTCACAAAAATTCTAATTATTATTTTAAAAATACTTTCCCTCAAAAATACCCTCCAAATTCCGATTTATTTTTTAATAAATTTTAAAAAGTTATTAATTTTTTTTGAATTTTTATTGATAAATAAATAATGCGCGAATATATAAAAATATATTTTTTTTATCGCCCAATTTTCAAAGGCCAATTATTTTCTCGTTTTTTTTATTTTTTATTTAAATATTCCCGTTATTTTGCCAAAAATAAAATTATTATTATTTTTATTTGTCATTTTTTTAAATTGAAGGAATTTTTTTTAATTATTAAAGATGATAGAAAATAATTATTTTGTTTTTATTGAAAATTAAATAAAAATATATTATTTTTATTAAAAATAAAAATATAATTAAACTGAAAAATGCAACGAAATTTTATGTGGTTTCAACTTGATGGTTTGTTGATTAATTTAAATTTTTTAAGATTTTTTTGTAAAATTAATTCTTTAAAAATTAATTTAAATTTTTCTTTGTTAAAAAACAAAAAAGAAAATAATTTTTAACGATTTTCCCAATCGACCTAAAAAAAGAATTAAAAGGACTCCAAAATTCGTCGTAAATAAATTCAAGATCCGTGCCAAAGATAAAAATAATTTTAAAGAAGAAGAAGATATATTTAAAATAAATATTTAATTTAAAAGAATTTTTAAAGTAATTTTTAAGGAATTTATTTAAAATTCTTTAAAGGATTTTAAAAATATACATAGGTATATTATCCTTAACCGGTATTTAAAATGTTAAATAAGCAACAATCAAAATATTTAATTTCTCCAAATTGTTCTTCAAAAAATCAACAGATTTTTGCAGATTTGGCACTTAAATTGTTGTTACTTGGAATAGCTTTAGTTTTGAGTATTTTGATTGTAACACTTTTGGTTTTGTTATTTATTTGTAAAAGAAAACAGAAAAGACAAAAAAGAAGGCTTGAGAATCAAACAGAGGAGGGGAAAAAGGTTGAAAGAATTTTAAAAGCAAAATTAGAAATATTTTATTAACTTCTTCCTCTTTTTAATTAAGCAACCCAATCTTGGAGAAAATTTTAAAAGTGAATCCTTCATTGTTGTTGGCCAGAAATTAACAAAATGTTCACAACAAAATGGGTTTTCTGCTACTGTTAGTTATTTATTTTTAAGTATTTTTGATTATTCTTTCACACAAAATATTAAATAGTCTATTCAGAAAATATAATTGGAAGAATATTTTACAATAATTATATAAATATAATTAATTTTAAAAATTAATTTTAAAGTTTTCCCAACCTAAACAACAAAATTTAAATAAAGAAATTGAAAATTCACCAAAAACTCCCTCCCCATTGAATGCTTCAGAATATTTAGATTTGGAGGAAGAGAGAAGAAATGGACCTAAAAGCATTATACGTCTTGAAAATTGTGGATATAATTTGAAAGTAATAATTATTGAAATAAATTAATAAAATTTAATAAAATTTTCGAGTTTTATCCAAATCAGAATAAAAAATTAATTAATAAATTAATTAAAATTCTGTGAAAAATTTTTAGAATCCCAAACAAAAACGAAATTCCAACAACCGAAAAGACAGTATTAGACCAATCACAAATTCTTCTTCCTTTGTAAATACAAATGGACCATTAAAAATAACCGTAAATGACGATAGTGGTTATGAAGATTCTACTTTAGACCCAAATGATTTTAAATTAATAAATAAAGAAAGTCCTCTTCAAATGAGAAGATTTCAAACAAACACAATGGAAAAAGTTTTAGAAAACGAAAATGAAAAGATTTATGGAGAATTTGAAGTAATAAAATATTTTAAAAATTATTTAAAAATTTATTTTTAGTGTCTTGGACAGCAAACTATGTCCACATTAAGGCCTCGTTCAACAACTGCAGAATTATTTGAAAATATTAGAAAAAATCGTTTTTATGATATTTTGCCTTGTAATTAAATATTTTAAATAATTAAAAATTAATTTAACTTTTTAATTAGTTGAATTTAATCGAGTAAAACTTAAATGGACAAATAATGCTTATGGAGGTACTAACGGATGTAGCGATTATATTAATGCCAGTTATATTAAAGTAAAAAAATATTTGAAGAGAAATTTAATTTTTAAGAAATTTAAAGACAGAAGAAAGCAAAATTAATTTAACAATTCCAAAATATATTGCCGCTCAAGGACCGATAGGTCAATCAGAAGCTGTGGACGGAAGAAGAGTAGAAACTGTAAAAGATTTTTGGGAAATGATTTGGCAAGAAAATATTAATTGTATAGTTATGTTAACACAATTATCTGAAGGTGTTAAGGTATGTTTAGACAAATAATAAGTATCTCTGTAGAGTGTGGGATAATGGAAAAGTACCAAGACATATTAAACAAATTTATTTATTAAAAATTTATTTTAAAGCAAAAATGTGCTCAATATTGGCCAGAATGCCCTGGAGAATCAGAACAATTTGGAAATGATTTTACTGTTCAATTTTATTGTGTTACAGAGGATGATATTTGTATAAAACGAGAACTTTGGTTACACAGGAAAGGAGAAAAAGACAGAAAAGTAAAAGAAATTTAGTCGAATCCCAATAATACGACACCCCGATAACACGTCACTTTTATTCATAAGTCAACTAAAATCGGTCCCGAAGATGACATATTAGAGGGATTCCATAGGGTAAATAAAAATAATTTTTAAAAATATTCAAGTTATTCCAATGGCATTTCAAAGAATGGAGAGACGCCTCTAGCCCAACAGATGTTGAAAATCTTTTAACTTTTATTGAAGGAATTAGAGAATCTGAAAGGAAAAAGCCCATATTAGTGCATTGCAGGTATATTTAATTATTTAACTTAAAAATTAAATAATTTAAAGTGCTGGAGTAGGAAGAACGGGTGTTTATATTGCTTTGGATATTTTATTAGATAAATTGGAAAAGGTAAAAATTAATTTTAAATTAATTAGGGAAATGTTGGAAATGACAAAAGACTGATCGTTAAATAAAATAAATATTCATAAGGACCAATTAATTGATGTAAAAGAAACTGTCAGCAAATTGCGTTCGCAGAGGATAAGTATGGTAAATAATGCTGAACAATATGTTGCCCTATACGAGGCTATTGCTTTTGCTATTAGGAAAAAGTCTAGGTGATATAGTTATTTTTTAGTTGGAGATAAAATATTTAATTTTAAGATCAAATGGTTGATTTTACTTTAAAACAAATTTTGTAATTTTATTTGAGAGGAAATATTTTTGAAATTAAAAATGTCTGATACATTTTATTTTATATGTACTAGTATACATATATTTATTTTTAAGAGATCTGATGAATAAATTAAATATTTAATTATTTCAATGTTTTAATTAGATATTTTTTGGGGTTTCTGATCTCCAATTAGTTTTGGTTATTTTTTAAAGTTAATAATAATCTAAATAAATAAATATATGTAGTATATGTTTTATTTTTAGAAAAATTAAAATCTCTTTGAATTATAATTCTCTAATTAAAACCCTGGGCGTTTATTTTTCAATGGGTCAATTTGGTTGTGCTTGTATTAGAGCTTCTAATAGAGCCGGGCTTTAATTAGAACATTTGCTGTATTATATATTTTTTATGCATTTTTTATCATAATTTTTGCATTTTAATTTAATTTTTGAAATAATCCAATAAATTATAAATGTATATATTTATTTTATATTTGTAATTCTACCAAAAGATTCATTTATTCTCAATCACAAATGTTATATTAAATAATAAATATATTTTACATTTTTGATATTGAAAAATATGAGTAATATTTAAAGAAATTGTTAACATTAAAAATAAATTTTTTCCAAACAAATAAATTATTTAAATATTAAAAATAAAATAATTCTATTTATTAATTTTGTAATTATTTAAAAATATTCTTTTTTAAAAATACATTTAATAAATATTTTCTATTAATTTTAATATTTTATTTTAATAAAAATAAATTTAAAAATATTATTTTAAATTAATTATCATTTATTAAATAAACAAAAATATATGTAATAAAAAATCATCCAATAATAAAAAATTTCATCATCTTTTCTGTTAACAAAACATTGTTGTAGGGAGATTATTGGATTTAAATATCACAAATTGAATTACTTATCTAAAATAAATTTAATTAATAATTTAGTAAAAATAACAAATTACTTATTCCCAAAAAATTTATTTTAATTTTATTAAAAGTTATAATTATTTTGACAAGTAAAGAACATTTAAAAATAAAATTTAAATTTTATTTAGTATTATAATTAATTGATATTTATTTATTTCTGCCCACTGTGTTTATGAAGACTATTATCGGTGCAAATAAGATAAAATATAGTGAAATAATTTTAAATATTTAATTTATTTTTAATTAATTTTTAAAATTTTTAAAATAAAAAAATAAATAATTTTAAAAAACCTTGAATTTAACCTAAATAAAAGTAATTTATATAAAATCAAATTTCAAATATTTTTTGTTAAAAATATAGAAAAAATTTTGTAATATAAAATTATTTTCTGTTGAATATTAACCAAAACATTCAAAATATAATTTTCTGCCATTATTTTAAAGGCAGATTTTAAATATATTTTTTTAAATTAAAGATAAAAGCAATCGCAAAATAATTTGTTTTGTCGACGGCCCATTGCATCATTATTTTGAAATTATTTAAATTTTAAAAATATTTATAAAAACAAATATATATATAATTGATATATTTTTCATATTTAAATAAATATTAAAGAAATTAACAAATATTATTGTATAGTTATTTTTAAAAAAAAGTTATTGAAATAAAAATAATTATTTTATTTTACATGATCTAAAAAGGACAATATTCTCTGACACATATGAGGTAAATAGTACGAAATTAAAGTTTAAATAAAAACATGTTTAAAAGAAACTCAGACCAATTAAATTAATTAACTATAAATCTAAACAATTAGTAAATTGTAATTGTATTTTGTTTTGTTTAAAACATTTTTTTGAAAATTAAAACCTTTATATTTTGATATCTTATAATTTAAATGTAAATTAATTAAAAAATATTTTCCATTAAAAATTCCAACAATTCATTAAAAATAATTAACTTTATTAAAACATTTTTTGCGATCAAATTAGCAAAAAAAGGATGCAATGCGGCAACGAATTTAGACATTTTATTAAGGTTATATTTTAATTTTATATTAAAAATAGAATAAAAATAATAAATTATTTAATAAAGTTATATCGAACAGCCCAAATTGTAAGTATATACCAACGGATCCTCAGGCTCTTTGGATAAATATAAAACATAAAGGTTAATTTATAGTAAAATTTGAGAAAAATATTTGAAATATAATTTACAAATAATAACCCAGCAACCAATAAAAAACACGTAATTAAGATACACAAAATCATCTCTACAACTAATGACGTTAACTAAAAGTTAATCAAAAATAATGTTGATATTTTTAATTTTATTTTATTTAAAATGTATTTAAATACTGAAAATAAAAATTTTGAATTATTAATTAATTATTAGAATAACAATTCAAAAAATTTGATTTTTTAAATAATTGTTTAGCAAAATAATTAATTATCTTTGATATTCAATGTATCTGTACAACCAATCTGCATTGTGAGCATTAATAAAATATAATATATATATTTACTAATCTTATATTTTAAGAGAAAGTTTAAAAATTATTTTTAAATAAATTAAATACAATTAAATAGGAAATATGTTCTTGATAAGATAATGAATAAATGACTAAATTTATTAATTAAATTTAAATAATAGTAGGATAAATATTCTTTTAAATAATTTAAATATTTTACTCCAAATTATTAATTGATTAAAAAAAATTCTTAAATATAATTTTAAACATTTTAAAAATAAAAGCTGTACACAAGAGATTGATAATTACTGCAAGCCATTGTCTCTTATTTTGTTTTTTGATGAAAAATAAAAAATATTTCTAAAATTTTTAAAACAAATTTATGTATATAATTGATATATTTTTTAATATTGAATATGTATAAATTGAAGAAATTAAAATAATATTACTGTATAGTTATTATTTAAAAAAGACTAAATTATTTTTAAATCTTGATATTTAAATAAAATTTGGAAAAAATATTTCTAATGATTTTAAATAATAAGTGTGAAACCTGAAGAAAAAAGATGTGATGGTAACATGATAACATTAACATGCGATGATAACATTACATACATAAATACTATGTTAATTTAGATTTAAAAATTATTTAAATAAAAAATAACAAAAATAAATTTAAAATTAAATATTAATTAAATAAATATAAAAAAGATTACTTTAAAAATTTAAAAATTATTAATTATAATTACCTATAATATAAAATTACCCAAAGTTATACTAACTTCTGCACACTGCGTATTCTACGATTATTATCGTGTCAAGTATAAAATAAATATTAAAATAATTTTTATTATAAAAATTTATTTAAATTTTTCTTCTAATTATATTCCAAAAGTATCCCTAATTAATTTATCTACTCAGAATAATTAAATCTAAATAAAACAAATTAAAACAATTTAACACAAATAATCTTTTATTTTCAAAATATTACTTTTTGTGATACAAAATATAAATTGATTAATCAAAGAAGAACATAGAGAAAAATAACTTTCTGTGATTATTAAATGTAAAAAAACGATAAAAATGGTATAAATATTCAAAAATATAAGGTAGTATTAAGTGAATAATCAAATAAACAGAACTCCATTAAAAATACATATGTATAATAAAAATATATTATTTAAATTTCTTAACGACATATGTAAATACAGAAGTTTTAAATTAATTTTTGAGATTCATCTGATTTAGTATGGCCACTCATCCCTTTTTTAAAAAGGATTTAGTATAAAAGCCCGACGAGATTATCCAATCTTTCATTGAAAATATCCATATGCCCAAAACAATGTGTGCCATCTTCGCTTCGTCTTTTCCTGTGTCTGGAGCCGTATCGTCAATCATCTGCTTCGTATTTCTAATTTACAGTGGGGCTACCATCTTATTTTGCTGCAAAAAATCAAAGGCGCAAAAGAAAAGGGTTTGTTCTAATTGTGGGGAGGATCTAGCCAAAAATTATTCTGGTTGACTGGGACTCACTAGGTTTTGATTCTAATATTCTGAAACAATGTTCTATCTTCTAAATTCATTTTAACCCCAACCACCTCCTCTCCCCTCACATTTTACATTTCTAACCATACTTAATTTCAATTTCTAATTTTCAGAAAAATAAGGCAAACAAGGACTCAAGGATGTCAAGAGCTTCGAAGAAGTCACATAATTGTGAGTTTTTGCAAGAAATTAAAAAAAATTTTTCCAAAAATTTTCAGCTTTCGAAGAAAAACGGCGTAAAAGTGGAAAATATGGAGGCGGTGATGATTACCAATCATTGGCAGGGCTAGATGGGGATATGTTTGTGAAAGGTGGAGCTAATAAACGCATTGATTCTCCTGCTAGAGGCAGACGCGGGGTATGATGATTATCTGAAAATACAAAAAATATTTTGGATTTTTTAGAAAGCTGCGGAGAGGAGAGCTAAGAAAATTGTAAGGAAACTTAAATTTTATAAGTAAAATTTCTATTTAATTTTTTAGAAACAGCGGCGAGGTGGAGAGTGTCAAGACGATATTGAGGAGGTAATCTATATTTTTGATGGTTAATCTAAAATGTGCGTTCACTTTCTGACCTATTTCTAAGAACCCCCCCCCCCCCTTCTCCACAAGACACCCCTCCTTTCAATTAGAATCATTCAATAATAAAATTTTTCAAAGGATGTCGATGTAATGCCATTCACTCAATCGGATATTAAATTGCCTGGAAAATCGCTCCTATCAAAAGACACTATAAGGTCGAGACAGAGTATTGTGGCATCTACTAAGCAAAGTAAAGTGCAAGATAAAGGAGCTAGTCTATTTATATAAATAAAAGAAAAAAGAATGGATGTATGTTTGTAAATGTGTAAAATATGATTTTTTGTTGATTATTTGTAATAGTATTTTTCTTGTTAATATTCTGATGGTTTATTGAATAAAAATAGATTTTAGTTAATATTCGGTTACTCCCACCATTTTATTTTCTTATCCTTTTCCTGAATTCGATCGACTAGAACTTTTTTCTGCTTGATAGAAACCAAATGAAAATCATTCGAAAGCTCTCGATAAGTGCTTTTTTTCTTTTTTCACAATTAGCCCTAGTATATGAACTGATAGGTACCTCCTATGAACCTTCTATTTTCGAGTAGGAATTTCGGAATCGGAAACAAGATATGGATATGAAGATCCGCAAGTATTATATGATCTCTGAAATTTATCAAAAAATTATTACTTGATACTAAACGAGAATATTTAGACATAAAAATTTATGATTTAACAATTTTTTTCAATTCTCTTTTCCTTCTTTTTGGAGTAACCAATTGCCATTCACCCTCATCAGTATTTTTTAAATTATTTTCAATTTCTAAAATATTTTTTAAAAATAATTTACTTTATTTTTATATCAATTCCAACCTTCCTTTAACTGTTTTGAATTTAAAACAGCTTCACTTTTAATTTTTTCTCTCCTCTTTTTCTTTTCATTCATTTTTTGAGGTATTTTATTTTCAATTAATTTTTCTTCAATTTTTAATTTTTTTCTTTTATTATTTTCCAAATTTTCTTCTTTTTCAATTTTTTTATTTTTTCTAAATTTTTGTATTGGCCTAAATTTATTTTTTAAACGTCCCCAACGAATTATTAAATTTTTTCTTTTTGGCGCTCTTTTCTTTAAATTCTTCTTTTCTTCTCTAAAAATAAATTAAAAAATAAAAAAATTTTTGAAAAATTAGCACCTTGTTGGTTTGTGTAATTTAAGTAAATATTCGGGTACTGGAAAGCCGGCTTGGTGAATTACTGTGGAAATTGGGCGAATTATTGGCATATCTGATTCCTAAATATTTTAATAAATTAAATTAGATGGAAGGGGGTTTTAACTGATATTTGTGTGGACTTTAACATTATCCAGGCCCGTAGCCAGGATTTTTTTCGGGAGGGGGGGGGGGGCAAGGGAGAAAATTTTTAATTTTGGAGAGAATTCCCCCTACCCCCTGGCTACGGGTCTGATGCGGACCCAAGTCCGTAGACTTTTCCCCAGAAATTCCTTTCAGAAAGCTCCTTATTTTTCGAAAAAATTCTAATAAAAACACCGTAAATAGAGTTATAGCCCTTCCAACACGTCCAGCCCTCCCAGTTCTGCCAATTCGATGAATATAAGAAATAATTGATGTTGGCTAAAAATTTATATATTTTTTCAAAAATCAAAAAATTCTTTCTTCCCTCACCAAATCAAAATTAATAACCAAATTAACATTTTGAAAATCAATTCCACGTCCCATTAATTCTGTACAAATTAATAAATCTATTGAACCAGAACGAAATCTTTCGACTACTAATTGGCACTAATAGAGAAAAGTTTTTATTTTAAAAAAATTAAAAACAAAGTTAACAAAATTTATCTAAAATTTGATTGAAAATTCCTCCTAAATGCCAAAAAAATTCGAAAATTTTTAGGTGTATTTTGTTATTTAGGTATAAAAATTTGAACTTTTTAATTGTTAAACACTATTAAAGGCGAAGAACATTTGTCCTAAGAGAGAATGGGAGGGCATTCCCTTTCCGGTATGTTTTATTGTTAGAATAAACTAGGGTAGCACACCGAGCAGATGGGGTGGGATCGTCGGGAATCGGGGTTTTCCGGGGTAGTCCTTCGGGGTTCAGGTTGGGGTTTTGCCAGGAAAATAGTAGGGCCGATGTCTTGCGGGACGGGGTGCTACCCTAACATACTGTTCGAATCTATAGAATATTTCTCTAAAAATGTTTATTAATTCCCTCAACAAAATTTCAATTTAATTTTTCTCGATACTTTAAAATATCCCAAAAAAATCCATCCCTCACCTCTTTTTCTGACAAATCCCCAGAAATTAATCCAACAAAAATTTTTCCTTCAAAAAAATTTTTTAATTCAGCAAATAATTGTTTTGCTCTGTCTTTACTCTAAAATTTATTTTTTTAAAATTATTTAAAAAAATTTACTTGTAAAAATATCAAAGCTGGGGGTTCAAAATTTTTTCTCAAAATATCTCTAATTATTTGAACTTTTGCCTGTTCCCAACCAGCAAATACCAATTCTTGTTTAACCAATTCATTTGCACTATTTCTTGGCCCAATACAAACCATCAACATTTCTTTTAATTTTTCTTTACACCAATTCTCTACCTGACAAGAAAATGTTGCTGAGAAAAATCCGTGACGGACATTTGGTCCACAACAAAAATTGAGGATTTTATCGAGCTAAAATTAAATTTAAATTAAAATTTAAATATTTACTTGTAATTTAAAACAATTTTCCCCTTCAGTTCCTTCAAAAATTCTGTCACATTCATCAACAATTAACCATTCAAGATTTGACAAAAAATTTAAAGATTTTTCTTTTTCTAATTTTTCCAATAAATAAATTAAACGATTTGGGGTGCAAACAAGTATATTAATTGCTAAAAAAATTCTTTTTTTTTAATTTTTAGAAAATTTTCAACTTTTAAAAATCGAAAAATATTCTCAAAATTTAATCTTTCCGGTTTAACTTTTTTCCGGAGAAATCTTAGATTTTAATCTGATTAACAAAAATTATTATTTTTTTTTCATAAAATTTAATTCAACACTTAAAAGGGAACATTTCTAACTGTGACCAAAAATTTTGAAATAAAATGAATAGAAAATTTCTTTTTAATAGGAAAAACGAGGGAGACAGCTCCAAAAGTCGGAAACTTTGAAGCCCCTATATCTTGTCGCAATGGGGGTCGGAGTCAAAAAGCCAAAAATTTCTTATCGACCATGCTCTAGACGATGGTATAATTTTTATTTCAAAATTTTTGGTTACAGTTCGAAATGTTCCCTTTTTAACTACTTTAAATAGCTAATTTTAAATTCTAAAAAAATTAAAAACAAAAAAAAAAAGAATTACCACATTTTTCCAAATTTTTTTCAATTTTGTTAGCAATTTTTGAATTTAAATAAAAACAATTAATATCCAATCCAAAACAAAATTTAACAAAATTTTGGAATGTCTAGAAAAATTTTTTAATTAAAAATAAAAAAAATAAAACAAAAAAACCTGAATTGCCAGAATTTTTGTTGGCTCTAAAATTATGGCAGAAAGTATTTTATTAGAATTTTTGGAATTGTTTTGTTGTTTTTGTTCCAAAATTCGTAAAATTATGGGTATCGCAAAAGCTAATGTTTTTCCAGAACCTAAAAATCAAAATTTAATTTTTAATTCGAAATTGAATAGAAAAATTAAAATTGAAATTTATTTTTTTAGTAAAATAATTTTTATTAAAAATATAAAAGATGTACCAAATTTGAAAAATTATTTTATCAAAAACTAGAGAGCGAGATTTTCAAAAAATCTTGACTTGATCCTTGACCATGCTTTTAGGTGAGGACCTTGACCAGATTTTTGACCTTGAAACAAGGAAAAATCAAGAAACTCTGAAAAATGCCTTGCTCTGGACTCTGGATCCTTTAAAAATTAAGGTCGGATCCAGATCCAGCTCCATCTCTAATTAAAAACCTTCCCAAAAAATCAAAAAACAAACCAGTTGGAGCAGTAACAAGTAAATCTCTGTGTTGTAATCCAATAGGAATTCCTTGCATCTGTACAGGCGTCGGGACAGAAAATTCTTTTAAATTTTCAGATAATTTGTCTGGTAATTGAAAATCAGAGAAATTTTCAATTGGATCTGGAATGTTTGTCCCCCAAGTAAATATTCTGTGCTTTTTACGAAGTTGACGAATCTTTGAAAAGAAAAATAAAAAAATATTTTTAATTAAAAATAAATTAAATTTATTAAAAATTTTGATCGAAAAGAGTAAAGAAAGGGTAAATTTTAGTAACCGGGCCGGATCCGGCCGGATTTTTCCGGAGTCAGGGTCCCAAATCCGGATTTTTTTCGCAATTTTCGGATTAAAACCGGACCGTATTAATCCGGAGAAATCCGACCAGATCCTACCCGGCTCTAGATGCAAATCCGGAATCCGGGTCCGAAAAAATCGATTTTACCGGTCACTAGTAAATTTAAATATATTAAAAGTTAAAAAATTGTGAAAATTAAATTTAAATAAATTTTTGTAAACAAAAATAAATTTTAACAAAAAAAAACCTTTTCAAAATTTTTCAATTTCTCATCTTCTTCCATTTTTCCCCCATCCTCAATTTCTTTTTCAATTAACAATTTTCTTTTCTTCTGTTTTATTTTATTTTCATTTTTGTCAAAACTTAAATTAGATCCGGCCAATAATTGAAATTGAAAATTTTTATTTTTTGACGGCATCTAAAATTTAAAACAATTAAAAATTTTTAAGACCTAAAAAAATTTTTTTTACAAAATTAAAAAATATTTTGGCATAATGTTTTTATAAAAAAATTATTTTTCCTAAAATTTATTTTTTTTTCTAAAATTTTTTTAGAAAATGGAGCCTTTTATTCTTCGCGGATTTCTTAAAGAAAATCAATGGCCAATAATGGAATTGTGGACAGAAAAATATTTACGTGATAATTTTGCTAAAAATAAAGGGCCTGTAATTGTACGTTTTGGGAATAGAGAACATGTAGATGGAGAGGTAAGGGTAATTAATTAATTTTTATTTAATTGAAAGGGAGTAAAATTTTTATTTTCTATAAAAGAATTTTTAAAAGAAAAATATTTTGAAAAAATTAAATTTGCAGAAAAAAATTGATTTTTCAATTTTCATACTTTTAAGATTCTTCACGATCATGAAAGTATAAGGCATCAATTTGAAAGTTTTTCTGAAATGTTGGATTGGATGCTTGGTCGAAATGAAAAAGAGGTGAATTTTTATTAATTTATTAGAATACTTGAATTAAAAATTTATTTGTAAAATAAATGTAGATTTTTAATCAAAAAATTCAAAGGGGTATCTATGGGACTGGGGGATACTGTCACCCCTCTCCCCTCAAATCCGATTCTCGATTACAACATTGATTTTAAAAAACAAATACCGTAACATCTCTAATAGAGTGGCCGGTCATTCTATTTTTCCCTCCAAAGGGGCATTCTAGTAAAGGAAGCCCTTCAGCTAGAGGTGGCAAGCTAATAGAGATTTTCTCTCCACCTCTTTTTTTCTCTCTTATTTTTTAAAATTAAAAGTTAACACCAAATTCTGCAACAGAACTAAAAATAAATTCTTCAACTCATTGGGCATATTTGGATTATCGAGATATTTTGGAATTATTGGATGAAGAAAATGCTTCTCTTGTAGATTGGTCTAAATTAAATATTTTCCCTCCTTCTTCCTCTTCTAATTTAGAAAATTGGAAAGATTCAACTATTTGGATTGGTTTTAAAAAAACTTTTTTTAAAAAATTATTTCCTTTAAAGGAACCCCCGGTGCCTACACTCCCTGTCATTATGATACTTACGGATTTAATTTACACGCCCAAATTTGTGGATATAAACGTTGGCTACTTTTCCCTCCAAAAACTGATTTAAATGCTACTAGACTTCCTTACGAAGAATCTAGTGTTTTCTCTTCAATTGATATTATTGGGGCTACAATGAAAGAAGTTGGGGAGAATAATTATATTCCTTCTCCTTTTGTTGTTATTTGTGAACCTGGAGATTTGTTATTTGTTCCCCAAAAATGGTTAAATTATTTAAAAAGATATAGCGGTTATTAACTGGTATCCCTCGGTTTTCAGTTGTGTTTTAGATAAATATCGGTTTATTTTTGGGGGAATTTTTAATAAAATCACTCATTTTCAATCACATCACTCATTTTAAGATTTTAATAAAATAAATATTAAACTATTTTTAAGCTAGGAAATCCCTAAAATAGTGCTCTCTCCCCTCCCCACATTTTGGAGGTTAATTTAAAAAATAAAGCCCCATGGGACTTTATTTTAAGAAACGTGGTATTTACATAAATTAATTTTAAAAAATATTATTTAGGTGGCATTCTGTCCAATGTATTGCCAAAATTAACGATAACCCTACAAATACAAAAAATATAAATAACCAATTATGTATTTCTTTAAATAAATGGTTTCCAACAGAAAATGATTTAATTGAATCAAAAAAGGAGGCTTTACTTAAATTTATGGTGTTTTAAATAATTATTTAAATTAAAACTAACAAGTATTTTTTAGATGTCTTTAAATTTAAATTTTGGTTTATTAAATTTATCAGAAAATATTTGTTTGACAGAATTAAATTCTTTGGAAAATAAAAATAATTTGGAGGAATTGGCTTTTTTGGTAAATGAACGGTTGGAAGAAGAAGAAGGGGAAAATAATGTGGAGAAATTTAATTTTAAATTAAATTAAAAATATTTTTTTTAGAATAATTCTCCAAATCCAAAACGTGCAAAATTAATAAATAAATTAGAATTTAATGAAGAATATTTTTTTAATTATTTTTTAAATAATCCGTTAAAAGAAAAAATATCAGTTATGGAATGGGATGAAATTTACAAAATGAATAAAAGTAAAAACTTTTTTAAAAATGAATTTTTGACTAGAAAAAACATTATTTTTTAAAGATTTTTATGGAACTTTTTTGTCAACAAAATCCAATCAATTTAACAAAAATATAAAAGAAAATTTAGTAGATCAATTAAAAATTGAATTGTTTGAGACTATATCGTCACCTAAAGTTTTGGATGTTTTATTAGATGTTTTTATTTCGAGAAGAAAGAAAAAAAATTAAATTACTAGAAATTAAGAAAAAATTGGTGTTTTTTTGTTTAAGTGTAAATTTCATGAATAAAAAATCCGTTACAAAAATGAGTACAAGCAAGCCCTTTTCTGGTCAACCAACGTATACTTCCTGAATGCAGAATTTCTGGAACACTTATAGCATAGAAAATTGCTTGAATAATTTTGTAACGGACATAATACATATAAATTTTTAATTTAATTTTTTTGTTCGTTGGATAAGTTAAATATACTAATATTTATAAGAAGGCTGGGATTTACAGTATGCCGTTTCACCCATCCTCCCTTGAATCTTGAGCTGTTTTCTTTTTTCTAGTTTTTAATATTTGCCTTTTTCTATATTTCGAAATACATTGTTTTAAATTTCAAAAATCTACGAATGTTTGAGTTAATTGAGTTACGTGTCCAGTGAGAATGAGTCAAGATAGTGTTTACTGATTACACTACTCCTATGAAGAGTTGATGGTAGTTGAGTATTTTTGACAGAGACAGGATGAAATGCCATCCTTTGAATGCACATTGAGTTGAGTAATATGTAGTATTAAACCACGAGCCATATTCAAGTACACGGAGATTTTGCTCTTTTTTGGTTTTGGATACTTGCTGGGATTATTTCTAGGGTGAAACATTACGATCAGCAAAACATTCGAACTTCAAACTAACTCTTTAGATCTCAGAGACTAAAATCGAATTTAAAAAAAGACGAGTTACGTATGATGTTTAAAAGAAACTACCCAAAGTGTCACTCTCTCCAATCTTTATTTGATTTTATTCTCTACCCCTTTTTCTTCCCTTTATTATTTTCTATTTTTCTTGCCTAATGCAACGAAATAAATTTTTTTTGCTGTTGGAGAGAGATGTGTTTGTTTGACATAGAAACGGGCGTGCACGAGAGATGTGACTATTAAATATTTTGGAGTGTTGCCACTCGTTTAACACAGCCATCTCTACAAAGAGTCGGGTAGTACATACATACTAAATAGACTTTTTAACCTCCACATTTTGTTTAAAGTAAAAATTCTTTAATTTATAGTTTTTTAAATAAATCTATATGGCTTCAACTTCTAATAATTCTCGTACTTGTCCTAAATATGCGGTAGTACATTTACCTGAAGGAACTAATGTTCTTAATTTCTACCAATTATTGGTAAATTTTTCAAATTTATTTGTCAAACTAAATCTTTTATTCAAGAGGCCGAACCCATGCAAGAAAATTGCAAAAGATGGGTAGAGCCTTAGCTGATTTTCATCTAACAATGAAAATAATATTTTTATTGTTAGAAGAATCGATTTTCTGGGATGTGATTTAGGAAATCACATTTTTGTGGTTTTTCTTGATTAATCTAGCAATTAAAAAAATTTTTTTTTAAATAATCAAAATTCCAAAGAAAGTTTAAATGTCCAGTAATATCATAGAAAATTTAGAGTTACAGTAATATCCCAATAATTTTTTTCACTTTCTTCTCAGTTGTCTAATGGTTTTTCTGAAGTTTCTTTTGTAAATGAAATTCGTGAAAATGCTTTTTTGCCATCAATTATGGGAGGGAATAGTAGTAGTTTATCTTCAACAGTACACAAAAATGATTTGGCAAATATTAATATTATTCCAACAAATGAAACGACAAATCCAACAATAGAAAAAGTTGTTGATTCTGTAGCGAAAATAAGGTACAAATAAAAAAAAGATAAATTGGAATAAATAAGGGGAGAGAGTTGATATTTAAATATAAATATGGGGGGGGGGGTTTAAAGGATCAGTTAAAATAAAATCCTAGCAAAAATAAGGTACAAATTAAAAAAAAGATAAATTGGAATAAATAAGGGGAGAGAGTTGATATTTAAATATAAATATGGGGGGGGGGGGGTTTAAAGGATCAGTTAAAATAAAATCCTAGCAAAAATAAGGTACAAATTAAAAAAGAGATAAGTTGGAATAAATAAGGGGAGAGAGTTGATATTTAAATATAAATATGGGGGGGGTTTTAAAGGATCAGTTCGAATAAAATTCATAACTTTAAAAATTATTCGTGGATGTCAAACATTTTTTTCATTATGTACTTATATACATTAGTGATGTTCTGGAGAAGAAAAAACTCGGAAAACGGGAGTCGGGTCGGGTAATGACCTTGGAGTCCTCGGGAGGCCAGAAACCTGGGAAATTTTCCCGAGTCGGGAGTCCGGATCGGGATACCCGAACATCACTAATATACCAACAAACATATTTAGTAATCCAACATTTACAATTTCTTCATCTTCAATTCCACAAATAACAATAAATAATGGCCAACAACAACAGAAAGAAAAAACATTAAAAGACATAGCTTTAATTAAAATGTTTGGAGAAAGAAATTTATTAAATGAAAATCAACAACAAAATATTTTAATTAAAACAAAAAATAATAACAATATCCAAACAATTTGTGGAATAAAGAAAAATAATATTTTGCCGATAATTAATGATAATAATACAAATTCTGTTGATTTTTATTCTGTTTGTGCTTTATGTAAAAGCAGACTTTTGTGAGTGGATTTTTTGTAAAAGAAAAATATTTTAGAGGACAAATTTATCTTAAATATATTTTTCCTAATTGAATTTAATTACTTTTGATGATTATTTGAAATCTCTCAAGGAGGGTAACTATCGTATTTTCTCGGTTAATTCCCCTCCCTCGAATAATTCCCCCTGCTACGGATGGGTTGAAGCAATAATTCCCCTCTCCCAAATAACCTACCGCACATTCAAATTTTAAAACTCGAATAATTCCCCATGCCATGGATGGGTTGAAAAAATACTTCCCCAGCGGAATTAATTGAGAAAATACGGTAATTGAGAGAGCCTTATACCCCAATTCTTAATGGATATATTTAATTAATTTATCAGATCTACCCGTCTTAGCAATCTTGTAAATCACGTTCGTCGACATGCTACAATAAAACAATATAGGTGTAAAGTTTGTAATTATGAACATATAGAGATGGGAAAAGTTCGTTTACATATGTTAAAAGCACACAAAGATTCAAGTTCACCTGTGGATAGATTAAATTTTGAAATGCAGCTTGAATGGGGAATGTTGATGGAGAAATGTTTTCCAGAACATGCAAAGGTAAAAGAAGGAAAGGTGTGAAGTAAGGCTGGCGGTTCTGGGTATCCGGTCCGAAAAAACTCCGGATATCCGAAATATCCGCAAATTTCCCAGGAACCGCCATCCTTAGAGTGAAGAATGAACCTAATAAATGTTTTTATCTTGGTGTGTACATATACCTCTGCCGCATTCTTAATATTTTTCTAATCTAATACCAAAGCATTTAAAAGTCAAACTATTTCTAAATTACTCCCGCGTTAGAGATTCCGCAAAATTAACGTCGAAAAAAGCTTTCGTCGTTGCGGAGGAAGCCGGGCATAGAGCAGAACGATAGCGAGGGCGAAGCACGGGCTATTGTGTAACAAAGACGGGCTATCCTCCCCCTTAGCAGCACAAAAAAGCAGTTTTTCGTATTCAATTTTAACTATTATTTTTAGAGATTTGGATTAACATCAACAGCTACTTCTTCTCCTCGAAATTTAGAAAATATACAAAAATTTATTGACATAAATCTGAATTATACTTGTACTGTTTGTGGTGAATTAGTGATTGGTAGTCAATTAATTAATCATATAGAGGATATTCACAATTCTGAATGTATTGACTTTATTTGTGGGGAATGTGGATACGAAAATGAATCCAAAAATAATTTAATTTTTCATATAAAGTAAATTAAATAAATATTTTTAAATAAATATTTAAATTTATTTTAAAGTTCCCAACATAAAGAGAAGGCAACCAAAGTTATTTTGGAACAAAAGAAGTCTACAAGGAATTTTGTGCATTTTTTAAAGAAATTTTTTGCAAATGTTGGTGGATATTTGAAATTAAATTAATTTTTAATTTAAAGGTTAATATTCCCAATCGAGAAGAGGGTAATTTAAATAATTCAAAATATTTGTTAGAACCTCAAGAAATTGGTGAAGGGAAGGAAAAAGAAATTAAATTGGAAGGGGAATTAATTAATTTAAGTGAAGATGAAGAAGAATTGAAATTGGAATTGGAAGATAATTTTGATAATTATTTGGAGGGAGGAGAGGGAGAGGAGGGGGAGGTAGATGAAGAAGGAAAACGAAAAGAAGAAAATAATAATTTAAATATTTTGGAATGTTGTTCTAATTTAATTTTAAATGAACAAAATAATGAGGTAGTAAATAATTAATTAATTTTAATTAAATTAAAATTAAACAGAAAATTCTTTCAAATGAAATTAAAGTAGAACAAAAGGATGAAGAAGACGAAGAAAAAGAAATTATGATGACACATTCACCGCCTAAAAAACAAAGAAAGGAGCAACAACAAAATATTACTTTACGTCAAAGTAATAGAGTTTTATTAAAGCAACAACAAAATGAGAAAAAATAAAAGTTTTGAATTAAAAAGGAAATAAATATTTGGAAATGTTTTTAAATTATGTTAAAAATAAAATATTCTCTATGTAGAAATAAAGACTCGTTAAGATTTTATGGATAATTGTTTGTTTTTATAAAATTAAATCCTTCTGTATATCCTTTCTAATACTAAGTTTGATTAATTTAATAGAGATTATCCTCAATAGTCGAATCTTCTAATGTCATTCTATGTTTTTATTTGTTAAAAACTAGGGCTGGACGTAATCGGAAAAAATCTTATGAATCCGGAACTTGAATCCATAATTTAAAATATAGTACTCCACAATGTTACTACAAGTTTTTGAATAAATCTTTAAAAAATTTTTTTCTTCAAATTGAAGGAATACAAATGCTTTTGAAAAACTTCGTTACAATTTTGTGATTTTCTTGAGTCTATATCTCGGCCTATTGTTGAGACCTCCGTCTAATTTTTGTTTTATTAGATTCAACTTGATGAGCTTTATCGAAAGACAATATACAATTTGGCCTAGTTAAAGCCGGTTTGTAAATAAAAAAAGAGAGGGGAGTGTCTAAACATACAAGTTTTCCCAAAATTAATTAAATTTTTAAATTTTTTTTTGTAAATATTTTTGGTATCTTTTTTATTTTAAAGAATTTATTTTCCTTCTAATCGATTTTTCGCGCTATTTTTCTTTTATTTTTGAATGAAAAATTAATAAAAAAATTATTTTTATTTATTCTTTGTTTGTCTCTTTAAATTTATTAAATAAATAATTTTTAAATTTATTTTCTCAAAAAAAAATTTTTAATTAAATATTTCGAACATCTCTTATCCAGTTTATTAATACTTTCAAATTCAGTCATTTTTTGTCTATTTACATTAATAAAAAAATGTTATTAAAAAATAATAATTTATTTTTAATTTCTCTAATTCTTTTATTTTTAAATTTATTTATTTATTTTGATATTTTCTCTAAAAAAATTAAAATAAATTTTGAAAATGATGGAAATTTTAATTTTGATGATGAAGGAATAAATAAAGCTTTAATTAATGGAATTGAGGCAATTAAATATATGTATGATTCTCAATTGGGGAAAGCTGAGGTTTTAAAAAATTAAATTTAAATTAAAAGTAAAAATAATTAGGGAAAGAATTAAATAATTTAAATAAATATTTTGTTATTTTTATTTATTTTTTTGATGGTTAATATGTAATTATTATTCAACCTCTCGTTATAGGAGGTGGAAGGGGAATGGAAGTGGGCAATTTTTTGAGAGATGGTAATTATCCAAATACATACATAAGCTAATTAGTAAAATCAACCTTGTGGCTACTCATAGTAAATAAATAAAATCCCCTTTTTCCAATTCCTTATACATAACTTTAAAATCAAAATTCCCATTTTTGTCTAAACAACATTTTTTAAAGGTTTCAGATATTGTTGAAAATGTAGAAAATAATAATTTAATTAAAAAATGTCCATCAAAATATTTTTACAAATCAAATATTTTAATTAATAAAATTAATGGAAAATTTACAAAAAATGAGGACTTTTATTTATTTTCTGCATATTTTGATAAAAGAAATTTAAATAAAATTCGAATAATTAGTTCTTCATTTAAAAATATTAATTTGATAAAAAATAATAAATATTATTGCCATTTTCATCAATTTAATAAAAATATTAAAAAAGGTTTGGAAAATTATTAAAAATATTTTTTGGGGAATAGAAAATGTTGCGAATAATTTAAAAGAAGTTTTTCTAATAAAAAAGAGGTATTGAAAGTTGATAAAAATAAAATTTAATTTAAAGAATAAATAGATAGAAAAATAAATATTTGGAATTTTATAACAAAAATCTTTTTTGGTTTTCAAATTCCAATTGCAGTCAGATCTCTCTTAAGTGTAAATCCTTGGGACAAAAAATTATACACCCTGCATATGAAAGAATCGCTTAGGCAAATCCTCCCACCAATCAAATTAAAAAATTATTTATGAAAACTCTGTGATCCTTAGATATTTATTAAATATGTAAAATAGCGTTTAAATAGAAATTATTAGATTTTTACAGGGCATTAATTCAGATTTTGTCAAAAAATATTTAATCTAAAAATATTTTCATTTCAAAAAATAATTAATTATTTATAGACGGTTATTGGGCAAATAATATAATTGTTGAAGCTAATATTCAATGGATTTGGCAAAGAGCTTGGGATCCTAGAAATGAATTTTATAATACTTTTATTATTACTTGTCCTAAAGTTTTTGAGGATTTTGAGGTAAAAATAAATAAATAAGTATTTTTATTTAAAAATTAATTAAAATTAAAAGACTTCAGCAGTTTATATTTCAAAAAATAATTTTTGTATTTTACCCGATTCGAAAATTAATTTTATTGAAATAAATAAAGAATTAAATAATTATTTATTAAAAGAAGAGAGTGTTGTTGGAATTAAACCGGAAAATATAAAGTAAGAATATTTGATTAAAAATTTAAAAAAAGGAAAATTTAAAAAGGAAAATAGAAATTAGGTAGATGTGGAAAGGAAGGGGGAAGGGAAGTTTAAAGTTTCTACAACTTTAGAGATTAATAATAAACAAAAATGTAAGATTAATAGTCGAGCTTTGAGTATTATAATCACATTCAATTAGTGTTTATTAATTTTTTTCTTAACATTTTAAAGGTAAAATCATCTATGTATTTTACTAATATTTTTTCTTTTTTTTATATTCCAATTTAATTAATTTTAAATAAATTAGTTAAAAATTTAATTATTATAGAATAGCTGTCTGCACTAAAGGCCTCTCATTTTTAAATGAATCAGAATTATCTAGTCGATGGATGGCTGAATGGATTGAATTACAGAGAGCTTTAGGTGCTTCGTCCATTGGTGTTTATATTTATTGGGTACCTGATAGTGTCCGAAAATTACTTGAAAAAATCTCTGAAAGAAAAAGAGTTGATTTGGTACGGAAAGAAGATTTTTTTTGTTTTTATTTTTCAAAATTTAGATAAATTTGGAATTACCCGGAAATTCACCAAATCAACCAATGAGGTTTAATATTAGTTAAAAATAATTAGTAACTACATATTAATATTTAAGCCAACAGAATTATATTTTGAGAAATAGACAACAAAAAAGACGTCATGAATTAATTCCATTAAATGATTGTTTTTATAGGTAATTAAAAATTAAAGAATATTTGATGGTTAAATAATGATAATAATTAGAAAATAGGTAATGAGTAAGACAGTAGGAGTAAAGGAAAATTTACCTATGAAGGTATAGGTAAAAAATATCCATATCCATCCGAATATATTATCCGGATATTATCAGTATGCATGGACACGCCGGCAAAAATGTGTTCCATTTATGAATCCACGTTCCCCTGATTTAAGAAAAGTGGTTATTAATAGTTGATGGTTCTGGTTCAATAAGAGCAATCCATAAGACTGAGAACACTGCTGCGGATTTGGGACCTTGGGCTGCCTTTATTAATTTCAAACAGTAATTCCCTCGCTGTTTCCAACCAACTCATTTACATATTTATTTATTAGATATTCCTCTACTCACCATTTCGTTTTGGTAATAGATACAGATGAAATTGTTGTTCCATTATTACACAAAAATTGGCAAGAAATGCTTTTTAGTATTTTAAATGATGGAAAATGGAATTCTGAACCTTCATCTATTTCAATTAGAAATGTTTATGTTTTTACTCAAAATTCAACTGAAAAAGAGAAAAGTATTTTTAATAAAAGTAAAAGATCTAAAGTTATTCAAGAAAGAGATCAATATGGAAAAAGTTTTATAAAGTATGTTGTTAAAGGTTTTTAATTGGGGAGGATATTTGTTTAGAATTAATTCTCTCAAATTTTATAATTGTTAACAGTCTAATAATTAAAGTGGAAGACCGAAAATCTTTCTAAATTTAAAAATAAATGATAATGATCTCCTTTAATGATCACTGTCGAGAAATTTCTCTCCTTTTAAATTTTAAAAAATATAAACTCCCTTTTTTTAGTACTCGAAGTGTTGTAAGTGTTTTTAATCATTTTGGGCTACACAGAATTAATTCAAATGTTTCAAAAACTTTTCATGTTCCAGCCAATATTTCATTAAAATATCATTGGAAAAATAAATGCCCAAAATTGGAATTAGGCAAAGAAATATGTCAAAATGTTGAGAATAATTTAACAGAAGGTGAAGATATTTTGGAAAAATTGAGAGAAGGAATTGAAAAAAACATAGAAAAATATTTTTGAATTAATTTAATTATTTTGTGGAAAATTTCTAAGGAAATTTCATTTGTGCTTTTAATTCAAACTTTTATAAACTTTATTAGATTTATAGAGAGTAATAAATCTTTATTAGATTTATATTATTATTAGATTTATAGAGATTATTAGATTTATAGGCCCCGGAAAATTCGAAAAATTTAAAAAATGAAAAGAAATCAGTTGGTCATATTGTAGATGCTCAAAGTTTGGATTAGAGATGGCTGATGCTGGGAAATCCACGGATACCCAGAAATTCTTTTCTATTTTTTATTCACTTTTTTCTACATTTGCGTGTTCATACAAATATTACTGGTAGGGTTAGGGTTTCATTATCAAATTCAACTGAATCGGACCAAACAATTTGCATAAACTCATATGTATGTAGTTAGTGTATTACATTAAATACACTAACTATTTACTACACTAACTATTTTTTTCAGTCCTGTTTAGTGTATTACATTAAAATCTGTTTTTCTATTTTGAAATTTTATGCATTTTGAAGAACTATTTTTCCTTAGAAATTAACTTTTTGCTTAGAGTCTAAAATTCATCCTGAGCTCAAATTTTTGTGACTCATATCAGCCAAAATTCAGATACAAAACTCAGATTTTGTGACTCCGACAATCTTGGTTATATAGATAGGAGTAAAGTAGAGTTTGTACATGGAATTGGGTGGTGCTTCAAGATTAAACCCCGATTATTTGATCGAGAATTGACCTAAAAACTCAAATACATATTTTATAAAATACCATTTTTGTAAAAAATAAAATTATATCATTTTTCTATAGTGAGTAAACGTTTCATAAAGAAAATTTTTGTTTGAGAAGATACAATGCCACATATTAATAAAAAAATTCTAAAAAGCTTTCCATCAAAATTAATAAAAATCATCTTGATATTAACAACGACAATAAAAATAATAAAATTTAATGAAAAATAGGGAAAAGATGTTTACAACATTGTTGATTTAAAAAACATCTTATATCGAATATTAGGATTCACGTGAAAAATAAACATATACGTATGCCACATATACTTCCAACAATAAAATTAAGATAATTTTTTGTAATTTAGTGATAAATATTTCGTGGCAAATATAAAAATTATTTCTTAATTCCGTATATTTAAGCAGAGGCAAATTGTAGAAAAACATCAAACACATTTTAACACATAAACTTGTGTTAAGTAAAAGAATAATATGAAAATAATAACTTTAATTCCGATCTTATTCTCATTAATAAATTCGGTAGTTGGACAAACAACATGTGTAGCACCGACAACTCCTCCAGTTTGTTACTGTACATGTGAATCGACACCTGGAGTGTCATCAACAGCACCAACAACGACAGTAGGGCCAACAGGAACTACAACAACTGGCACACCACTAACCACTGGACAATCAACACCAGCACCAACAGGAACTACTGAAGCTACAACAGCACCTACAGGCAGTCCTGGACCATCTACACCAGCACCAACAGGCACTACCGGTTCATCACCTGGACCAACAACTGGTAACCCAACTGTAAGCCCTGGACCATCTACACCAGCACCAACAGGAACTCCTGAAGCTACAACCGCACCTACAGGCACTCCTGGACCATCTACACCAGCTTCAACAGGCACACCCGGACCATCAACTCCAGCGCCAACAGGCACCCCCGGACCATCTACACCAGCACCAACAGGAACTCCTGGACCGTCTACACCAGCACCAACAGGAACTCCTGAAGCTACAACCGTCCCTACAGGCACACCTGGACCATCTACACCAGCACCAACAGGCACTACCGGTTCATCACCTGGACCAACAACTGGTAACCCAACTGTAAGCCCTGGACCGTCTACACCAACACCAACAGGAACTCCTGGACCGTCTACACCAGCACCAACAGGAACTCCTGAAGCTACAACCGCACCTACAGGCACTCCTGGACCATCTACACCAGCACCAACAGGCACACCCGGACCATCTACACCAACTCCAACAGGAACTCCTGAAGCTACAACCGCACCTACAGGCACTCCTGGACCATCTACACCAGCACCAACAGGCACACCCGGACCATCTACACCAACTCCAACAGGAACTCCTGAAGCTACAACCGTCCCTACAGGCACACCTGGACCATCTACACCAGCACCAACAGGCACTACCGGTTCATCACCTGGACCAACAACTGGTAACCCAACTGTAAGCCCTGGACCGTCTACACCAACACCAACAGGAACTCCTGGACCGTCTACACCAGCACCAACAGGAACTCCTGAAGCTACAACCGCACCTACAGGCACTCCTGGACCATCTACACCAGCACCAACAGGCACACCCGGACCATCTACACCAGCTCCAACCGGAACACCCGGACCATGTACAACATCACCAACAGGTGCACCCGGACCGTCTACACCAGCACCAACAGGATATCCTGAAGCTACAACCACACCTACATGCACACCTGGACCATCTACACCAGCACCAACAGGCACGCCTGGCCCAACAGGAACTTCTGAAGCTACAACCGCACCTACAGGCACTCCCGAATCTACACCTGGACCAACAACTGGTAACCCAACTGTAAGCCCTGGACCATCTACATCAGCACCAACTGGCACACCCGGACCATCTACACCAGCACCAACAGGCACACCCGGACCATCAACACCAGCACCAACAGGAACTCCTGAAGATACAACCGCACCTACAGGCACTCCTGGACCATCTACACCAGCTCCAACAGGCACACCAGGACCATCTACACCAGCACCAACAGGCACACCCGGACCATCAACACCAGCACCAACAGGAACTCCTGAAGCTACAACCGCACCTACAGGCACTCCTGGACCATCTACACCAGCCCCAACAGGCACACCCGGACCATCTACACCAGCACCAACAGGAACTACTGGACCGTCTACACCAGCTCCAACAGGCACACCAGGACCATCTACACCAGCCCCAACAGGCACACCCGGACCATCTACACCAGCACCAACAGGAACTACTGGACCGTCTACACCAGCACCAACAGGAACTCCTGAAGCTACAACCACACCTACAGGCACTCCCGAATCTACACCTGGACCAACAACTGGTAACCCAACTGTAAGCCCTGGACCATCTACATCAGCATCAACAGGCACACCCGGACCATCTACACCAGCGCCAACAGGAACGCCCGGACCGTCTACACCAGCACCAACAGGCACACCAGGACCGTCTACACCAGCACCAACAGGCACCCCCGGATCATCTACACCAGCACCAACTGGAACTCCTGGACCGTCTACACCAACACCAACAGGAACTCCTGCACCGTCTACACCATCTCCCACAGGCACTCCATCGACATCAAAACCAACACACACTCCAAAAACAAAAAAACCGACAACTACTACACCAAAACCAACTACTACACCTAAACCAACTAAACCTAAACCAACTACTAAAAAAGGAAGTAAGATACAAACTAGTTATACTGTAATTTCTTTTTAACAAATCACCGTCCATCTTTATAAAGTTTTCCAAAAATATCGTTATAGTATTATACATAGCGGTATAACTAATTTTAATTAAAAAATAATATTTTATAATTCCCTTTAAAGTGTGCTGCAATTACATGAAATGTCAAGAGTGCAAATACAATCAAAGATGCGACGGAATGAGCTCATATCCCGATCCATGTGTTGATAAATATTGAAAAATGATATATTAAAAAATGAAAATGATATAAATATTTGTTGAAAATAATTTTATTTAACGATCGATTTTCTGTACTTTTAGTTTTTAGTCCTTTCATAAAACTTTGGCTTATATTTTTTATCAATTTTAAGAATTTAATTAGTTACTTCTGCTTTTGGGGACTACTATTAGCTAAACCAGTTTATTCTCTCCCTATTAATTTTTTTTTTCAAATTTTGAGTTTGGTATAATTTAATTTGAAAAATAATTTGTAACATGAACAGTCTAGGGTTGGTGGATCCAGGGAAATCTTCGGATATACGGTTAAAAAACATTCCAGACAAAATATGTACAGTCCGACAGAACAGTCCAGAAAAGAGGTGTTTGTCTGGAACCATTTGCGTGTATACACATTTAAAAATCGGTCGTTTGTATTTATAATTAATCTTTCCTTTATTGATGCTCTCATTGGGCGATGCTACAAGGAAAATTGAGTGAGATCGATGAAGGAAAAATCTTTGGCCATTCCGTGCATGAATCCATATTTATAAAATTTCTCGATCTCTTGTTTCAGAATAACATGGTAAACAGAGTGAAATTGATAGTCTGGTCAAGCCTATATGACAGATGTGCGAGTCGCAAAGCTCAATCACCGCGTTCTCCCTGTAATAATAACCTAATTCTAATGGAAAATAACTAAATTTATCATTTGTGGAATTTTCAGGGTCCAATACTTAAAACGATACTCAATAAAAATAATTAAAACGATACTCCAAAATTCACATTCATAAGTGCTTATTTATAATCATTTTATATAAAAGAATGTTTACAAAATTATATATAATATTTCAACTACATATAAACCTAACAAAAAGGCAATATTTAATTATAATCCACTTAATAATAGATTCCTAAAAATCAACAAATTATAACAAAAACAATAACAAAATTAATATAATTAAATGAAAGATAATTAAGCTACGTTGCGTTCTTGCACGTTCTTCTTCTCGGATTTTTTGTTTTTGTTCTAGCCATTTTGAGTAAGCCATATCCCATAAAAGTTCTTCTCTCTCACGCCATTCTCTGTCAGAAAGATTACTACGAATCTTATCAAATTCTTCTTTATTTTTCTCTTCAAATTCTCTTCTTAATTTAAGCCATAACTTTAAAAATAAAAAATAAATTTAAAAATAGAGAAAAAATTTAACTTGTGCCTAGGGGCTTGGAGTCATAAGGGCGCGGGGCCATTAGGGCGCCAGCACTAGAAACTGACACAGGCGAAACCGAAATTTATGAAAATTTTCTCAAATTTCTTTAACATCATTGACTACCTCCTCCAGAAATTTCAGAATTTATCATCGAATATTTCTGAAGTTATAATCGATAAACCGCGAAAAATTAGGGTTTTTCGGAAAATCACCATTTTTGGCCACAATTTCCGAAATTCTTGATCAAAAATTCTGAAATTTTCGGAGAACGTAGATAAAAGCATGAGAGTCATTATTGCAAAATTTTATCTTTTTTGATAAGCAACTCACTGTTTTATAAGCTCGCGCCCTAATGGCCCAGTCCCGTGCCTAGGGTGATCTACAAAAAAGTAGACAAAGACCAAGACTCGACCCCAACCTAAAAAACTCAAGACTGTCCAGGCAGCTATAGGATGCATAAATACATAATACTATGAGATTCAATTATAAACAAAAAACCATTGTAAAATTTACTTTCAGCCTAAAAATACAGATAGGAATTAATCAGATTCCTTAGAAATAGTGGATTCTGGATACTATGTTATTAAAGATAATATTACAAAAATTGAGACAAGAATTTTTAATAATTTGAACTAGTATTTTGACTATTGTAAAATAAAAATATAAAATTCAGTTTCAACAATAGCGAAGCTTCATCAAACTACAACAAAATATGCAAAAAATCTGATGTACCAAAACATAAAAAAATATTGAAAGAAAATATGTACACGTTTCAAAAATAATTTTATGTATGCAAGAGGTACATAAAACATCAATGCCACGTATTAACGACAAAAGTTGTTTACAACCTAAAATTTTATAAGATTCGAAAAAAGCCTTTAAGCAAATAATTAAAGATAGAAAAAAGCAAAAGTAATAAAAAAGGCGAAAAGAAGAGTTAAAGATTTGTTAGATAAGTTGAAAAGTTAATAATTTTAAAAATATTAACAAATATTCACGTGAAAAAGGCAAGACAAAAAGCGAGTAACAAAAACTAAGGCGCAAGGCTAATAAGACGCAATCCTATAATTTCTAACAATAAGTAAAAATGATCTATCATGGAAGTCGGTTGGCATCAATCGATAAATAAGCTATAGAATAAACAAGAAAAAAATTTCGCGGATGGAGTCAAACGGTTGCGCCATGAAGTCGTTGTCCCAATATGCCACATATACAACATTAAATTTTTAATTAGTTTTTTCATAAAGAAAGTAAATACGAAGTGAAAACTGAATATAAAAGTAATGGAAAAATGAAAAAAACATCAAATACAACCAAGACACATAATTGTGTTGAATAAAATAGTAAGATGAGAGTAATAAATCTAATTCCTATCCTATTCTCATTAATAAATTTTGTTGCTGGGCAAACAACATGCGGAGTACCAACAACCCCTCCAGTTTGTTACTGTACATGTGAATCGACACCTGGAGTGTCATCAACAGCACCAACAACGACAGTTGGACCAACAGGAACAACAACAACTGGAGCTACACCAGCATCAACAGCTTCTACTGGTCCATCTACATCAGCTGAAACTGGCTCAATTTCAACTGGAACTGGCCCAACTGGAGCTCCAACAGCTACACCAGCATCAACAGCTTCTACTGGTCCATCTACATCAGCTGAAACTGGCTCAACCTTAACTGGAACTGGCCCAACCGGAGCTCCAACAGCTACACCAGCATCAACAGCTTCTACTGGTCCATCTACCTCAGCTGAAACTGGCTCAACTTCAACTGGAACTGGCCCAACTGGAGCTCCAACAGCTACACCATCATAAACATCTTCTACTGGTCCATCTACATCAGCTGAAACTGGCTCAACCTCAACTGGAACTGGCCCAACTGGAACTCCAACAGCTACACCAGCATCAACTGCTTCTACTGGTCCATCTACATCAGCTGAAACTGGATCAACTGGAACTGGCCCAACTGGAGCTCCAACAGCTACACCAGCATCAACAGCTTCTACTGGTCCATCTACATCAGCTGAAACTGGCTCAACCTCAACTGGAACTGGCTCAACCTCAACTGAAACTGGCCCAACTGGAGCTCCAACAGCTACACCAGCATCAACAGCTTCTACTGGTCCATCTACATCAGCTGAAACTGGCTCAACCTCGACTGGAACTGGCCCAACTGGAGCTCCAACAGCTACACCAGCATCAACAGCTTCTACTGGTCCATCGACATCAGCTGAAACTGGATCAACTGGAACTGGCCCAACTGGAGCTCCAACAGCTACACCATCATCAACATCTTCTACTGGTCGATCTACATCAGCTGAAACTGGCTCAACCTCAACTGGAACTGGCCCAACTGGAGCTCCAACAGCTACACCAGCATCAACAGCTTCTACTGGTCCATCTACATCAGCTGAAACTGGCTCAACTTCAACTGGAACTGGCCCAACTGGAGCTCCAACAGCTACACCAGCATCAACAGCTTCTACTGGTCCATCGACATCAGCTGAAACTGGCTCAACTTCAACTGGAACTGGCCCAACTGGAGCTCCAACAGCTACACCAGCATCAACAGCATCTACTGGTCCATCGACATCAGCTGAAACTGGCTCAACTTCAACTGGAACTGGCCCAACTGGAGCTCCAACAGCTACACCAGCATCAACAGCTTCTACTGGTCCATCGACATCAGCTGAAACTGGCTCAACTTCAACTGGAACTGGCCCAACTGGAGCTCCAACAGCTACACCAGCATCAACAGCTTCTACTGGTCCATCGACATCAGCTGAAACTGGCTCAACTTCAACTGGAACCGGCCCAACTGGAGCTCCAACAGCTACACCAGCATCAACAGCTTCTACTGGTCCATCTACATCAGCTGAAACTGGCTCAACTTCAACTGGAACTGGCCCAACTGGAGCTCCAACAGCTACACCATCATCAACATCTTCTACTGGTCCATCTACATCAGCTGAAACTGGCTCAACTGGAACTGGCCCAACTGGAGCTCCAACAGCTACACCAGCATCAACAGCTTCTACTGGTCCATCTACATCAGCTGAAACTGGCTCAACCTCAACTGGAACTGGCCCAACTGGAGCTCCAACAGCTACACCAGCATCAACAGCTTCTACTGGTCCATCTACATCAGCTGAAACTGGCTCAACCTCAACTGGAACTGGCCCAACTGGAGCTCCAACAGCTACACCAGCATCAACTGCTTCTACTGGTCCATCTACATCAGCTGAAACTGGCTCAACCTCAACTGGAACTGGCCCAACTGGAGCTCCAACAGCTACACCAGCATCAACTGCTTCTACTGGTCCATCTACATCAGCTGAAACTAGCTCCACTGGAACTGGCCCAACTGGAGCTCCAACAGCTACACCAGCATCAACAGCTTCTACTGGTCCATCTACATCAGCTGAAACTGGCTCAACTTCAACTGGAACTGGCCCAACTGGAGCTCCAACAGCTACACCAGCATCAACAGCTTCTACTGGTCCATCGACATCAGCTGAAACTGGCTCAACTTCAACTGGAACCGGCCCAACTGGAGCTCCAACAGCTACACCAGCATCAACAGCTTCTACTGGTCCATCAACAACAGCTGAAACTGGCTCAACTTCAACTGGAACTGGCCCAACTGGAGCTCCAACAGCTACACCAGCATCAACAGCTTCTACTGGTCCATCGACATCAGCTGAAACTGGCTCAACTTCAACTGGAACTGGCCCAACTGGAGCTCCAACAGCTACACCAGCATCAACTGCTTCTACTGGTCCATCGACATCAGCTGAAACTGGCTCAACTGGAACTGGCCCAACTGGAGCTCCAACAGCTACACCAGCATCAACAGCTTCTACTGGTCCATCTACATCAGCTGAAACTGGCTCAACCTCAACTGGAACTGGCCCAACTGGAGCTCCAACAGCTACACCAGCATCAACAGCTTCTACTGGTCCATCTACATCAGCTGAAACTGGCTCAACCTCAACTGGAACTGGCCCAACTGGAGCTCCAACAGCTACACCAGCATCAACTGCTTCTACTGGTCCATCTACATCAGCTGAAACTGGCTCAACCTCAACTGGAACTGGCCCAACTGGAGCTCCAACAGCTACACCAGCATCAACTGCTTCTACTGGTCCATCTACATCAGCTGAAACTAGCTCCACTGGAACTGGCCCAACTGGAGCTCCAACAGCTACACCAGCATCAACAGCTTCTACTGGTCCATCTACATCAGCTGAAACTGGCTCAACTTCAACTGGAACTGGCCCAACTGGAGCTCCAACAGCTACACCAGCATCAACAGCTTCTACTGGTCCATCGACATCAGCTGAAACTGGCTCAACTTCAACTGGAACCGGCCCAACTGGAGCTCCAACAGCTACACCAGCATCAACAGCTTCTACTGGTCCATCAACAACAGCTGAAACTGGCTCAACTTCAACTGGAACTGGCCCAACTGGAGCTCCAACAGCTACACCAGCATCAACAGCTTCTACTGGTCCATCGACATCAGCTGAAACTGGCTCAACTTCAACTGGAACTGGCCCAACTGGAGCTCCAACAGCTACACCAGCATCAACTGCTTCTACTGGTCCATCGACATCAGCTGAAACTGGCTCAACTTCAACTGGAACTGGCCCAACTGGAGCTCCAACAGCTACACCAGCATCAACAGCTTCTACTGGTCCATCTACATCCGCTGAAACTGGCTCAACTTCAACTGGAACTGGCCCAACTGGAGCTCCAACAGCTACACCAGCATCAACTGCTTCTACTGGTCCATCGACATCAGCTGAAACTGGCTCAACTTCAACTGGAACTGGCCCAACTGGAGCTCCAACAGCTACACCAGCATCAACAGCTTCTACTGGTCCATCTACATCCGCTGAAACTGGCTCAACTTCAACAAAAAGCTCAACTACATATAAACCATCTACAACTCGCAAACATAAACGTAATTTTACTTTAACTAAACTAAAACAATTATCCTTTCCCTTTAAAGCATGCTGCAATTACATGGTATGCAAACAATGTAGTTATAACCAATATTGTGGCGGATTTGATAGTTACCCCGATCCATGTGTTGATAAAGATAACACTTATAAATATTAGATAACTATGTCTTAATATATGTAGCACTCTATTACAAAAAAGTAGTTTTTAGTCTGATAAAATTTTAATTATTTTTTGCTTAATAAACTATTTACAATAACTTAATATTTTCGATAAATGGAATTATATGTATTAGGAACCGAAATCCGTTACACATAAGGCAATGAACCCATCCTATCCCCAGTCTTGAGTCTTGGTATCTTCCGAAGTTTTTACGCTGCGAAGAAAACAGGGTATGTCAAGCGCGAATTTTAATAAAAGAATTCCCACCTCATTCAATTCTTTTTCTTCCCTTTTTCTTCTTTCAATTTCTTCTCCCCATTCCCATTCCGCCCATTGTCTTCTTTTTTGTTCCTGATCCCATTGCCATCGTTGAAAAGGTGAAGAACCTGAAGGTGGTGGTCCTCCAAAAATGTCATCAAAAGGAGAAAATGGGCGTCTTCTTTGTCTGTCAGATGTTGCTCCAAATTGCCATTTCCATTCCTTTTCCCATTCCTGATTTTTAAATGGAGGACGAGGATGAAAATCTGTGCTCCATGTTGGAGGTTGTCCAGTTTCTCTACCAGTACCTGGCCTTTCTTGAGAAGTGCCAAAACGTAATTGTCTGTCATATTCTCGACGTTTCTGAAAGAAAAAATATTAAATCAAAATTTTATCCCAAATGGTAAGACACCAAAATCTGTTTGATTTGATTACTTTGAACAAAATTATGATACGGAATCTTCTTTGGAAAAACTGTTTATATGCTGGAGGGTAAGGGTCTTCGCGACACGATGCAGCAGCAAAAACTTTTTTCCGCGGAGGCCTTATGTGAGGAGTCACTTAAAACAAATGGGCATAACTTTGCAAAGTTCAATCAAGGAGATTTTTGTGTCATTCGACTTGTAAGCTCGATGATCCCCTTGGAATGAACTATTATTTGTTATTCAAATTTTCACCTTAAAAAATCAGCATGGTCCCACCTCCATGGTTTTTTGATTTTTAGGGTTTGTAGATTAGGGGACAAATTTAAAATTGAAAAACGGTTTTAAATTTTCCAAAAAATATTATTCTAACGTTAAATAAATAAAATTTAGTTTTTCCTTTCTTTTTAGCCGAAAAACCGACGAAATTCTACATGTGTAAAGGAGATATTTAAATCTAAAATTATTGACTAATTTAATAGTTATCCCCTAATATAGTCGTTTAATTCTAATTTAAAAAATAACTAAATACTTGTTCATCCTTCAATGTTTCATAAGCATTAGAAATTTCAACAAATTTTTTGTTTGATGCATCACTTGAACCGGAAACATCTGGATGATACTTTAAAAAAATAAATTTATTTTAAAACTTTACAAAATCCTAACCCTTTTAGAAAGTTTGTAAAAAGCACTTTTTAATTCTGTTTGAGTTGCATTTTGACTAACTTCAAGAATTTCATATAAATTTTTTTGTCCAGAAGTGCCAAAAGATCGTTGAAAAATTATTTTTCCAATTCTTTTATTAATTAATTCTCCAATATTTGATGTTGAATAAAGTCTGCTACAACAAGGAATTACTTGAAATGTTTCCACAAAAATTGAGATTGCATTTGTAAATAAAGTAGAAGCTTTTTTGTTGTTAAAACAACGAATTTTTAACATCTAATTAAAAAAATTTTAATATTTTTTGACAAAAACATGGCAAATTAAAAAAAATTGGAGAGACTCCAATGGATTAATTCTGAATAAGACAGAGAAAGTAATTAAGAAATAGTGGGTTATATTTTAAATATTTACTCTTTTGGCGTTAATTTATTTTAAATTTTTCTTGGCATTTTGTTTTATTTTTCTAATTTTTGAGGAAAAGGTGACACGTTTTTTAATTGCATTTTCTTATAGAATTTATGGATTTATTATTGAATTTTCATAAGCAAAATCATGTAAATGGGTTTAAAAAATGTTTTAAATTAATTTTTAACAAAAAATTTAGAAATGAATGGTGGAAACAAAAAGAAGATTTCTATTGTGTTAAAATCGACATTACTCGGTAATCGCTTGCAAAGTGAACAATCTGTAAAGCAAGTAAATGAAGAAAAGATTTCAATAAATCGAATTGAGGTAATAATAATTGAAACTAGTGTAGCTCCCCGTACCTCGACAGCGACGATTTTTTGGCAAAAACCCCACCCGAACCCCGAAGACTCGGGGAGCTACCCTATTTGAAACTTTACCTTTGAAAAGTTTAGATAAATAATTATTTTTTAATTTTTTTTTAAATTTTTAATAAAATTTTAACTTTTAGAAAATCAGCAAAATCCAAAATTCTGTATCCTCCAACGAAGATTTTCAATTAACAAAAAGTGTTAAAAACACTAATTTTATTAAAAATGACAATCAAATTGGTGACAATATTAAATATGAAGAAGAGTCTCAATCAAAATCTTCCCCTCGTTTTTTGCCTTTTGCCATTTCTCGTCAACAATTAACACCTTCATCTTCAACTACTTTAATTAGCAAAAGGTATTTTTTCCTTTTTAAAATTTTTCCATAAATTGGGTTGAAGGGGAGTTTTTGTGTTTGTGAATTTTCAAGAAAAGATTTTGCTCTAAAATTTCGAAATTTTAGTTTTTGACATTTGCTCTGTTGCAATCAGGTAAAAATACCTAAAAAAAGAGTGTAAGACTCGTAAATGAAAATTTATTTATTTTTAAATAATTGTTTTGAAGGTTTTCCTGACGCGTCTTTCAAAGAGGTTGGGAAGGGTTTTTTCTTTGTTTTTATTCATGTTTCCTAATTTTACGACTTTTTTAAAACCAAAAATTATAAACTGGTTATTTCCTTTTATTTGAGCTTATTTCCTTTGTTAATTGACCAAAACCTTTATACGTCTAAAAATTTTTCTGAAAAATTTTTTCAAAATTTTCAGATTTTTTTGAGCAGGTAAATGTAAGTTTTGATCCTGGTTCTTTTTAATTACGTTTCTTTTTTTAATGAATCATTAAATTTATTGACCATTTAAATTGGTCAAACAAAATCTTTTCTTATTTTTAAGCAATACAACAACTAAAAAGCAAAACGAAGAGAGTGTAAAGTCTGAAGAGGAATTGAAGAATGTTAAGGAATTTCCTTCTAAACGCCCTTCTCGTCAACGTACTACTTCCGTCGAAACATCAATTTCGAATAGTCATAGTTCAAAATCTTCTCACCACTCTTCTTCTCATTCTTCCTCTTCAGATTCTTCAACATCTTCTAATCGGCGTTCTTCCACTTCAAATTCTTCTAGGAATTCATCAACTTCACGTCGTTCTGATTCGTCAACAGAATCGTCATCAAGATCTCATTCACGGCGCTCGTATAGAACAACCAGGTATAGCCGTCGGAGAAAACGAAGTAGCAGCCGAAGTTCTAGCAGGTATAAAAATATTTTTATTTTTTTGCTTTCTCCAGCCACCAAATTTCTCTCCGGATCTATTTTATAACGTTAATTTTCTTAGTGAAAGATATTCGCGGAGACGTCGACGATCTTCTTCTACTAGAAGGTATCGATTAAAAAGGCGACGCTCTTATAGCAGGGATAGAAGTTATACAAGATCTTCAGTCAAACGATCTAAAAGATATTCATCATCTTCGTCATCTTCTAGAAGCTCAAGTTCCTCATCTTCGTCTTCTAGGTTTTTTTTATTTTTTCAAATAAAAAAATATTTTTTTAAGTTCCTCCTCTTCACAAACTTCACATTCTGAGAAATCATCGGCCTCTTCGACACACAATTCCTCTACTACATCTATCGGTTCAAAAAAATTGGTTGGAACGAACAATTATCAAAAAGATGAGAGAAGTGAAGAGAAATCAAAAGATATGAAGAAGGAGACGAGAAATGATGTAAAGGAAGATAAACTTGAAGAGACGAAGGAAGAAATAAAGGAAGATAAATTGAGTAGTAAAAATGGTGATTCCATGCCTTATTCCTCAGAAGACGAAGATGACCAACAGGAATCTGTAGAAGAGAAGGAAAATGAAAAGATTAAGATAACGGATAAAAATCAAGAAGTAGAAAACGACGAAAACAAAAATGAAAAGAATAAAGGAAAATGGTTACCAATTGGTTTTGAGAATTTAAAGAGTGAGAGTAATGAGGATAAAAATGTGAAAGATGAGACGGATGAAAGTGAAATGTCTGATCATGAAGCAGAATTGGTGCGGAAAAATAAGCAAATTAGGTTATCCTGAACATTTTTAAAATTTTTTTATAAAATAATTTTTAGAATTAAAGAACGATGGGAGTTACTCAAGTATCAAAAACAAGTAATCCCTCAGACATCAAATAATTTTGAATCTAATGAATGGAGTGAAGAAAGAGAAAGGGAATTTGTATTTAGCTTGCTTGAATAGAAAATGATATTTTATTTTGATATTTACATTTTTCTTATTATTCTCATTTTTTTCAAACATTTTTGAAAGATGAGAGAATGTTCCTGAAATCTTTATATTAGATAGAGATCAAACAGAATTTTGTTTTTTGTTTCCTTGTTAATTTCGATCTCTATTTAGTCTTTGGCTAAAGGCCTTGACTATCTGTCATTTTTTATAAGTTTGGTTTGTAATTGGATATTACTATTAGTTTTATATTTAATTTTCTATTTTGATAAAATTATGGGTTTTTAAATATTTTTTTTAGTTTTTATGTTAATTTCAATTTTTATTTTTTAAATTAAAGAATTTTTTTTTATTTAATTAAGACAAAATAAAAAATAAAAATGGAAGGAGACTCTATTGATAGTTTGGCTACTTCGGCTGAAGAAATTTTTTCTGATGGTGGGAGTAATGATGAAGAATTGCCTACTTCTTCAAATAAAGTTTTGGATGGACGTAGAGTTGAGTTGTCAGATAGTTGTAGTCTTCAGGTTTTTGTTTAAGGTTTGTTAAATATTTTAGCCTATTTTTAAGAGTTCTGGTGAAAATAACTTCCGCAGAGGCAGATTAAAAAAATTATTTCAGTATGATGCTCACAAGAATATACCATATGAAGAACTAAATAAAGGTTTCTTAACATAGTTTCTCTATAAACATTTTTGTTTTCAGCTTCAAAAGATGTTTTGGACCGAGCAGTTGAATATATGCAATTATTCTTAATTCGTTATCAAGCAGAGCATGCTGGAGTTGATGTATGAATTTTATTTTTTTAACTCTAAACGAATTAAATTTTATTTTTAGTTACTTCGTCGTATGCTTTTGGCTGCTCGTCTTTATGGTGCTCCTCTCCAACGCCTTATTCAATTTGCCTTGTCAATACATTTGAAGTACATTCCGGATATCCCTAAATTTTGTTATAGGCCAATCAATATTAAAAATTTGTATTTTTTTTTAATTTTTAAAATTTTTTTTATTTTTTTCGTTCAGTTTTGATGAGATGAACGAATTGGAAAGACGTTTTGGACATTTTCTTTGGGATTTATTTTTTGTTTATTGTCGGCCTTACTTAAAAAGGTTTTATTTTTTTTGGGAATAATTTTTAAATAATTTTAAGGGAAGAAATAAGACTTCATCGAATATTTTTTCGTCGTCAACTAACTTCTCTTGTTATTAATTTACACAATGCTGCAATGAGGAAAGATTGGCCGACAGTTGCTGATCGTTTAGGTTTTCTCAAGGGCTTATCGGTCGCAAGTATTAAAAATTTACCAATTATTTCAGCTTCAATTCCTGCATTTCCTTCAAAACAACTTCCTTCAAGAAATCATTTTGAATTCTTTAATCACGCAATGGGCCCATATTTTCCTTCATTTTATTTACTTACTTTACAGACTTTACTTGAAAGTAAGCAACAAATAAAGAATTTGAGTTCACAATATGTTAAAGTATGTAGGTATTTTTTTAAACTTATTTCTCAAATTAGCAATCCAACTATGATAAATGTATGTGTAGTTAAGTGGAATAATGCTTAGGTTTCGGCGCTTAAAGCGGCTAGCTTTTAAATTAAATTAATTGTTAGTCGCGAGCATGGCTGCCGTATATTATATCTACACTAGTTAGTTCGATGCGTCATTGTAGTTGGCGTTATCAGGCAGGCCGGTGTTACACCCTTTAAATGAGATTTTAAGTTTTTTTGTATTTAATTTTATTATTTTTTTTTTATTATTTTAGGCCTTTAAAGCTTTTAATTCTACTTGTTCTGAGCGTCATATTTGGATGGATAACTCAATGTTTTACTATTCACAGCTTCTTATTTTTCATTTATGCAATTTTAAATTAGAGAAGACTGGACCAGTTTTGGCTGGCCAAAATGTCAAATTCCAAGGGGATTCTCAGGTATAAACAAGGGCGTAGCCAGGGGGTCTAGAATAATAAATAATTTAATCTAACAATAAGTTTGTAATTTTTCCTATGATACAAGCTTTTCGATCGTGAACCTTTAGAAATCTTAACCTTATTTTTAATTTTTTAGCATCGCCGTTTAATTCTTTTGCTCAATTATTGCATTGATTTTGAGAAACATTTTCTTTCATTAAAAAAGGAGCGGCTTGAACGAATAAACACAACAAAACTAGACATGGATGAGGACAATTCATTACAAATACGAGTATGGAAAATTTATAAAGGTTATTTAAAAATTATTTTATTTTTAGGATCGTTCTTTATTATCTGGATTTTCTGGCTTTCTTGATGTTTTGTTTGAAGAACCTACAACAATTGTTGGCCTTTTACCTTTAGCAGTATTTTGTGCAATACAATTCGACTGTTTAGAGGTAAATTAATTTTTGAATTTAAATATATTTTTGAATTTAAGGATTTAACTGAAAAATTATCTGAAGAGTATATTCGTTATCCTTTTTTATTAATCCACGTTCACAATGTTTTTGCTCATTTTAAACTTTATCATGTTGTCGGACAAATGCTTGACCGGGTTAGTTTAGTTTTTACTTATTGATTGATTTCTCGATAGTTGTTTGAATTGTCTCTTGAAACTTTATCTGCTGAACCTTTCATGTTAGATTTAGTCGAGCAACGTTCACTTCAACCTTCAAATTTTGGTCAATTTGATAATGTTGTTAGTGGAAATTTACGTTTTCTTTTTATGGTATATTTTTCAATGTATATGGGGTTTTTAGACGCTTAATTATTATTATTTCCTCTTTCTCAAACATGTACTAGGATGGTTCATTGGTTTACCTCCATGTCCTAGGAAGCCGATGAAGATTAAATAAATTAATAAAAATGAAAAAAAATAATTTTAACCAAAAATAATCTTTTCTGAGTTTAAACGATTAACTCAAAGAAAAGTAATTTATTTAAAATTTTGGATAAATAACAATGCCCCCATTTAGGGTTCACGGTTTCTAAGAGATTGGCCGTGATCCAAAGGCAAGGGTCAACATTTAAATTAATTAAATGATTTTAAAAGGCGAATCTGAGGCTTCTTTTTTTCATTAATAATTATTAATTAAATTTTTGGGTTTGAAAATTTTACTTTTTTTAGTTTCTAGATTATGGCCGCAATAGAGATAACTCTCGAGCTTGGGCACTTCTCTTTTCCAATTTGTGTTATATTGAAAATAATTTCGAATTAGTCACTGCTTTGGTTTTGCCTTATTGGGACAAAAGAAAAAAGTAATTTTGATTTTTAGAACTAAAAATATTATTTTTTATTTTGGTTGGTGGCCTCAATTTCATAATCCCAATTGTTTACCACGAGATGCGGTTAAATTAAGGCGTCGAATTTTTAGAATATTAAATGAATTAGAAAGTGGTAATAATTGTGATAAAGAGAAAAATGCCGAAAAAGCCTTAAAAGTTGCTAAATGATTTAATTTAAAATTTTTATATATTTTTTAATGATCTTCATTTTTATTTGTGATATACTTTATTTATAAAATGTCTTATTTTATTTTCCAATTTTATTGTTAAACATTTCAAGATTAAATTTTCATATTTAAAATTTTATTTCTTTTAAATTCTTTTTTGTATTATTAAATATTTAAAAAAAAGTTTAAGAAAATGCTTGTTCAACAAAAGAATCCAAATTTGGTCGAGTTTGTGCTAATTGAATATCCTGGCGTTATTCAAAATGTTGATGCAGCTGTACAAACTCTTGGAGGATTGAGGACTATTTCTGCGGTAAAAAATTGGAATTTAATAATGAATGTGGAATTGTAAATATTTTTGAACTGCTCTATTCTACTAAATTTAGATCCATACCAGGGGTGGACGCTAAGGGCAATTGTAAAGGCATATAGTTCGATAAGCCAGATTTCTATTTTTGCCTACAGATTAGGCAAATAACGCCCCTGATCCAAACTTAATTTTCGCCTTTTCTAGTTCCTAAAAATTTCAGGCGCATTTTGCCTCAAATCCAATTGAATTACAATTTCGTCCAGACAATTTATTCCATTCTTCATTAATTGCCGAACGTCGTAATCAAGGTGTTGTATTCTCTGGGCATTTAAATTTAGTTATACGTGTAAGAAAACGAAAACAAGAACAAACAGAAAGAAAGGGAGGAGGGGGGTTATCTACTATTAATCAACAAGAAAAGCAGCCTTTAATTGAAGTTAAATGTTTGGGAATGGTTTCTACAGTTTATTCTTTTCGAGCAATTTGTGATTTTCAATATTTACCTCTAAGCAATTTTAATTTAAATGAAAGTGTTGATGAAGCACATATTCGCCATGATTTGGTTCCTATACTTGTTCCAAACGATTTTCTTTCTTCTTTATCTTGGTGGAATGAGGATCATTCTGGATGTAAAATAAATATTATAAATAATTAAATATTTAATCTTTCCGGTTTTCGTTTCGAAATTCCATTAGTCTTACGGAAAATTTAAATATTTTACCGAATATACAACCGAATATTAACACGCTCCTCTTAAAAATTCAAAACTTTTAATTTAATTTTTTTTCAATTTTTAGCTTCCCAAGCTTCAACTTCTTTAACCTCCAAATTATTTAATGAAGCACATCAGTTTTTACCTCCATATCAATTTAGTCGTTACAATCATCCTTCAAAGTTTTTGTTACATGACGAAGTTGACCACAAAGCGACGCGAGGAAATGTTGGGCATGGAAAAAGTGAATTTTTAAATATTTTTGTGGGGAATTTAGAGAAAAAATAATTAATTTAAAATTTTATTTCCAAAAAGGTCTTCGTTGTGAACGTAAATCCCTAACAACTACCGTTAATGCAAAGGATCCGTTTCCGGTTGCGCCAAGTGAGGAGGCTCTACGGGACGTTGACTTGAGGCAAATTAATTATTTTTAAACTTTTGTCAAAAAATATTTAGATGTAAAAATCCCGATCAACACCGTATGATGATTGAATTATTTGCTGAACGTCCGTTATGGTCTCGCGTGGCTATTTGCTTTCGTTTAAGGCTTCACACAGCCCTTTTAAAGTAAAAGAAGCTTAATTTTATAAATATCCTTTGAAATTTTTAGAGTAATTTTGGCCAAATATGCATTTTATATTCAAAGTGGGCCTTGGTAAATATTTAAAAATACAGAAGAAATGATTTTAATTAAAGGGGCCGTCTTTGGTGTCGTTTTGGGTATGATCCCAGACTTGATAAAGAAGGGAGAAAATACCAATCATTAATGGTCTCGTTTAAAAGAAATCAAGTAAAGAAATGAAAATATCGTTGAAAAAATATTATTTTTATTTAAAAGTTTATTCCTGAACGTCAACGACTTAAAGCTAATACAACAGCAGCAGGTACTCCATATGGAGAGTTTTGTGATTATATTTACAGACCAGGTAATTGAGAGATTATTTTAGAGTATTCTCTTTTTTAGGTGTTTTGCCTGAATTACGCCAAATGTGGTACAGCATTTTGGACATTCAATTACCTATAGCACAAAAAATATGTAGAAACGATTATTTTGAATTTTTGAGAGAATGTGATCCAATTACTGGGTGGTTGCCTGCTGTGAGGAATTATTATTAAATTTTTTTAATTAAAAAAATAATAATTTCTAGGCCCAACTTAACGCCATTCGTGCTGCTTTAAAAGCTGACGTAAACCTAACTTCTACTCGTTTAGGGAATTCAGCAATTGTTGGAGGGGGTGGAGGTGGAAATGAGGAAGAAGAGGATGAAATAGTTGAAGAGGATTTGGAATTTAGTGATGATGAAGATATAAACAATTTTTAGAAATTAATTTTGTTTTCAGTTTAAATTGATAAATTTTAAAATATTCTTTTAATATTTAAATAATTATTTAAATAAGTATTCTAGACTGGATTTTATATTTTTCTAAAAATAAAAAAGGTATGTAACAGGGATGTGTCAGTTTCGCATTCTCGTCTTTCGATTTTTTATTGACTTCTGATTCGAAAATCTATTTGGCACACCCCTGGTATGTAATTCTAGTTCAGAGAAATAAACATAATTTTATAAATAGACTAAATAAAAATATTTTGAGAAGGCACTATATAGTAATATAAATTACAAAGTAATAAGATTGGAATAATGAAAATAAATGTATTTAAGGAGTCACAAAATATATTACATATGAGCATAATTCGAACCTATAAGGCTTAAAAAATAATTAAATTAAAGAGTTCTCTATAAAAATGTCAAAATATTCAAAACAAAAATCTTTTTTAATTAAGCATGTGCCCATCCTTTAGATCGCCTAACTGCCTCTAGCCATTGTTCATATTCACGGCTACGTTCATTCTCCTCCGATGCTGGTTCGTATGTGTCCATTGAGTGTGGGCGACGTTGGCGAAGGATTTCCCCCAAACTTTGATAACTTTAAATTTATTTTTAAAAATCCCCCCTCCTTTCCAATAACTCACTCAACAACTCCAATTCCAATCCCAGCAGCTAGCGCTGCTCCCCAACCAGAAATTTCTGCCATTTTTGAACATTCCATTGGAATACCCATTGAATTTGCTTGTAATTTATTAAATAATTTGTTTTGTGTCATTCCACCATCCGCCTAAAATTTTTCAAAAAAAACCCTTTAATTTTATTTCAAATAATTTACTCTTAAAGAAGCAATTTTTATGTCAACCATATCCTTCTGTATAGCATCTAACATTTCCACAGTTTGGAAAGCAACAGCTTTTAAAGCAGCCAAAGCAATATGTGCTCGAGTGGCTGATTGGGTTAAACCACAAATAATTCCTCGCGCTGTTGGATCCCATTGAGGGGTATACAAACCAGCGAAGCAAGGAACTAAATAAAGGGGAATTTTATAGAAGTTCCGGAAGGCTCTTCCTTACCAAAATAAACATCCTCTGTATTTTCCACACTAGCAGCTAATTGCTCAATCTCTTCCGTTTTTTCAAAAAATTTCAAATTATCGCGTAGAAAGCGTACAACATTGCCCCCTATTGATCCAGACCCTTCGAGAGCATAATAGGCGGGGGAATCTGATCCAAACTGAGAAAACAATTCTTTAAAAAATATTTTTCCTTAAATTTACTTGATAGGCAATAGTCGTTAACAGTCCATAACCCGAAACTAAAGCTTTCTTTCCAGTATTGCAAAGCATAAAGGTTCCTGTCCCATAAGTATTTTTTGCTTCCCCTGCTTGGAGGCATCCATGACCGAGTAAAGAACCTTTAAAAATATTTTTTAGAAGAAAATTTGAGGCAAATAATTACTTTGTTGGTCACCCAAACAACCAGCTAGAGGAGTGCCTTTTAATGGTCCTTAAAATATTTAAATTAAAAAATCTCTTTCTATTTTCCAACCATCTCTCATATATCCATATACTTCAGCAGAACTTCTTATTCGAGGCAATATTTCTATTGGAATTCCAAAAAATTCACACATTTCGGGTGACCATTGACGGTCTTGTAAATCCATTAATAAAGTTCTACTAGCATTTGTGACGTCTGTTATGTACTCCTAAAGAATATTTTTATCAAAATTGGAAGGGGTTAAGGAAATACCGTATTACCCCTAATTGAATGCCAGGGAATTTTATTTTTCAATCACCCCCCAAACGGGCAAGAAAATCACCCCCCACCCCCCCCCCAAACACCCTCCAATTATCAGAGGTATACGGTATTTCTACTTTTTTATTTTTTAAAATTAATTTTAAATGTTCAAAACATTGTTTGTTTTTTAATCAAAAATTTAATATTTTTACCCCCAAAAGATTCCAAATAAGCCAAGTATCCACCGTCCCAACCATTAAAGTACCTAAAATTTATTTAAAAATTAAAAATAAATTTTTGATAAAAATATTTACCTTTAGAAAGGGATTTTTGTGCAGCTGGAACGTTATCCAAAAGCCAACGTAATTTCAAAGCAGTAAAGTAGGGATGGATAGGTAAACCAGTTTTTGGTTTGAAATGATTTTGGCACCTAAAATTAAGTTTAGGTTGGGGACAATAAAAAGAAAGTTTTTCTATTTAATTTTAATTAATTCCTTATTTTAAAACAAATTTTAATTAAAATTAAATAGAGTGGACAAGCGTTTTTGTGTGTGTAAAACCATAATTAATATATATATAGATAACTGTTCGATGTATTTATTGATATAATTTTTTTAATTTTTTAAATTTAATTTAAATTAGTTTTAAATTTACAATAAATTTTAGTTTTCTTTGAAATTTATTTTTTGAGGATGGGCGATACACTAACCACATATCTTCGACCTTATAGCTACTTTACGATATTATAATATAAAGGCTATTAAAGATATGTTAAAACAAAAATTAAAAATAATTTCTTTAGAATATTATCATTTAAATACATCGAACAATTAAATAAATAAATATATATTAAAAAATGGTTAAACACTCACGAAATAACGCTGGGCCCTTTCGTACATTTTGAAGTCGAATTTTCTTAAAAAATAATTTTTAATTAAATAGAAAAATTTTCTTTCAAAAAAAACTCACGATCTTTTGGCAGCTGAAGGAGTACCATTCAAAGATTCGTCAACTTTTAATATATATTTGTTGGCAAGATCGTGTGTTCTACTATCCAACCAAACAATAGCATTATACAAAGGTTCTCCGGTATTTCTATCCCAAATAATTGTTGTCTCTAAAAAGAATTTTGTTTTAAAATATTGTTTGTCTTTTAATTATTCTCTTTCGAAAAATAAATTTAAAAAATATTCTTTAATTCTATCATAGAGTAATTAACTTGAATAATAGTTTTTTTCCAAAAACAAGTTAATTCAAAAACAAAAAAATTCTTGACAATACTTGTTGTTAGTTACATTCATACCCCTCCCTATTCTTTTAATTTTGTTTATTCTTGGCGTTCTTGTGATTGTTAATTTTCGACTTGAATAACATACCGTAAATCTTCTAATAAAAGCACATCTCTACTAGAAGCACAGTCTCCAATATAAGCACACCCTACGAGGGTATCTAAAAATAGAAGTACTGTGCTTCTATCAGAAGATTTACGGTATATTCATAAATTCATAATTTCACGGACATATACCTTCATATACTCTTTTATTTTTAAAACCCCCCAAAAATCACCTCTTTGATTTGTAATGCCAACAGCACGGATATTCTCAGGTTCAATTCCACGCTTTGTTTTTAGTTGTTCACAGGCACCGGCAATACAAGCCACAGTTGTTTCAAAAATCTCTTTGGGGCACATTTCTACATAGCCGGACTCTGGGAATTGTTGACGGACTTCAATCTAGTTTTAAATTTTAGAAAAATTGTTTTAATCTTTCTCGGACCTGATGACTCGCCAATAATTGTCCAGTATCTGATTCGAAAATAAGGAAACGGCTACTGGATGTTCCTTGATCTATTGCGCCAAGAAGGACCATTTTAATTAGTTTAATTAATTAATTAATGAAGGGGATTTTAAATAGGTAATTATTTTTAAAAATGTCTGAAATTATACAGAAATAATTAAAAATAATATAATTTAAGTTAAATGTGAAACAAAAAAATTAAAAACAAAATAAATAAAATATTATTAGAGAACTACCTACTATTTTTTATGTTAATTCAAAATATATTTTACTAAAAATTTTTAAAAATTTAATTAATTAATTCGCCAAATCAACAATTAAAAATAATTTAAAAAATTTTATTTCCTCCTACTTTACTAATCATATTAATAAAATAAAAAAATAAAAGTTTACTAAGCCAAGAAAATTAGGCGAATCAATTTAATTTAAACTAATTTTTACGCGCATTTAAAGAGAAAAATAAATTAATTGGCAAACAAAAAATTAAAAAAAATAAAAATATTTGGGGACGGGTAAAAGGAAGGAGGGTTTTACATAAAAATAAATGTGAATTGAATTTTTTGGGGGAAATTAAAAAAAATTTTTTTTTAATATTTGAGTGATTAAAAAATTATATAAAAGTACAGGTTTTATCATAATTTAAAATATTTATTATTTAAAATTTAAAAAAATTCTGATTTAATAAAGATTAATAAGTGGGTAATTAATCAGAATTTGATGAAATCAGAATTTTGTAATTAATCAAAATTTCTGATATAATTTTTTTCTGAGAAATTCTGATATAATTTCTGATTAAACAGAAATACAAAAATTCTGTTTTTATTTATAAAAAAATATAAAAGAGTTCTGATTATTTTAAAATATTCTGAAAAAATAATTCTGATTTATTCTGAACTAAATATTTATTTTTATATTCTGAACGTGGCGCGAACTTTGCGGACCCGAATTTTGCGGACCCGAACTTTGCGGACCCGAAATTTGCGGAACGAAAGTTGCGGACCCGAAGGTAGCGGACACGAAGTTTGCGGACCTGATCTTTGCGGAACCAAGATTTTAGGACCGACATTTGAGTAAAAAGGGAAAATTAAAAATTTTATTTTTCGAGGATTCAGGCAGAGTTTACTATGATCCGTACCGGATTTAAAATTTTTATTGATTTTTCAAAATTTTTATCAATTTTTTATCTTAAAATTATTTCATAATTTAATAATCGAAAAAATTCCTTTAAAAAATCATTTATATGGCCATTTCATAAGGTCATGATGCCTGAATTTATCCTAATTAGCGCCGCAGACTAAAATTTTTGAAATTTCCGAGGTTCAGTAGACTCTATTGTCGGTCCGCAAATTTTTGGTCCGCAAATCAAAGATCCGCAAAATTCGGGTCCGCATAGTTCGGGTCCGCAAAATTCGGGTCCGCAAAGTTCGGGTCCGCAAATTTCGGGTCCGCAAATTAAAATCCGCAAATTTCGGCGCGCCATTCTGATCTTTGTAACTGGGTTAGGATAGACATTTGTGTGTGTGAATGAAAATAATTTTTCTGATAATATGCTACGTATAAATTAAATATTTTTGTGTTATTAGGGGGTCGCAGTCATCAACAAAAGAGGAAGAACAAGGTACACAAAAATAAATAAATAATTATTTTTCTTTTTTTCTTTTTTTGTCTCATGCTTTGCTTTATTTCTTAATTAATTTATATCATTTATTCCAAAATCCAGTTCCACTTTTGATAATTATTTATCCGCAATTTTTTAAATTAATTTAATTTTCTTTTAAAAAATTATCCAAAATTTTAATTAAAAATATTTTTGAAAATTAAATTAAATTTTCAAAAAATCATTTACCCGCTCCTGTTAGTCAACAAAATTTTTTTTCCTAATTTTTTGTTCGCATTAGTGGAAATTCTGATAATTTAAGAAAATAAATATTCATAAAAATTAATATATATTTTTCTATCATTTTATTTATCTCCTTTAAATACCCCCTCTCATTCATTGCTCCATTTTCTAACTTGAGGAGAATCAACAAACAAATCGCCCGCCCGTCACAACAAAAATAATTATGACTATTTTATTACCCTCCGGGTTGGGTAGCAGCAATATGATGACTTTTCTCTTTCCAAATTTTTAATATCAGAGAAATGCTTCCAAAGAACAAAGATAAAGATGATGTAAATTAATTTATTAATTAATCTAAATATCTCCTCCAAAATTCCTTTTTTTACTTCCTTTTTCTTTTAAATATTTTTGGGTACATTAACAGACAGACAATTTATTGTATTTTTGTTAATTTAATTTATATTTTAATAAAAATTTGATATTTTGTAAAACTTGAAGAGTTTTATTTAAAAAGTAATTATTTAAAAATATTTTCCATTTAACATAAAGTTTTATTTAAATACATATTAGTAGTACATATTTACTAAAAATTTTCTTATCTTCTACTTAAAATATTATTTTTGGGTTCCACATAATTATATGTATATATTTCCTTCCACACAGTTTATGTACCCAACGTCCGCATAGTGTACCCAAAAACTGGGTTTTTATCTAAAGAAAATGTCCGAATATTTATTTGCTTTGTTTGTGTGCACACAGGAATTTGCTTCCGATGGCGATAATTTCGGCGAGTGCAAAAGGTGATTGAGTACTTAGACAATTTTTGTTGAATGAACAATTTTTGGTTAAAAAATATATTTAATGAGTTTGTATATATGTATGTATAATGCTTAATATTTTGGGTACACAAAACGGAAATAATTATATATTTTGAACAAGAAATGTCTAGAGCTATTTACTATTAAAACTTTTTTAAAAAATAGTTTCAAATCTCTATGCAGGAATATTTTTTATTTAAATTTATAAATATATGTATAATTTGTGTATTTATTAATCCCGTTTTGTATTTAATTAATTATTTACATATGTATATATTTAGTGGACACAGAAAGAAATAAAAAGTAATGTTTTGATAAAAAATAAATAATTTAGTTTGGATATTTTTGATAAAAACTTTGGTAGTTCTTTAAAATTATTTTGGGAATTTAGTGATTTTGTTCCTAAATTTAATGAACAAAAAGAATATTTTTTCTAAAATTTATATACGTATTAAGAAAAAAAGTCAAGTCAAATTATTATGGGTTTTAGTCAATGATGAACTTTAATCAAGGGTGTTTAATTAAGGATACTTATTAATCAAGGATAGGATTTGTTCACCTTTTAACTACTACGTTCCATTTGATATTTATTCTGTAAATTATTCTTTATAATTTCATTCCAAATTTCAATCCTTTGCCATATTTTTAAATTCCGGAGCTTTTAACATTTTTTTAAAAATATTAAAGGGGTTTAAAATTTATTTTTCTTTTCCTTAAAAAGTTTATTTAATAATTAAAATCATCATTTCCTTTCGAAGTCCTTTTATTTTATTTTTAAATGTCATCAATTTTTCCCCCATTTTTCAAGTGTCAATTTCAGCTTTATATTATTTCCACAAAAATAAAAAAAACCTTTACTGCAAATTTATTTAGTAAAAAGTCTACTAAATATATTTTTTGAGTGTGTCGAGTATTGCGTGGGAAGAAGTGAAAAAAAATAAAATTAATCAAAACGACAAATAAATAAATAATTTTTTATTAAAATCTCAACATTAACGCCCACTATATGGGTAAGTAATGCATTATATAGGGACTAAATAGTAAAACTTTTTTGGCATTTTTTAAATTTTGAGAGACATCGAAATAAAGCTTGGCTTTAGAAAATAATCAGTTGAAATTTTATTTTTGGTTTATTCTAATTAAAATTTAATTTAAATATATTAAGACGGGCTGGCCCAATTTCTCTTTTTAAAGTTAAGATCTCCAATCAAAATTATAGTAAAGCAACTGGGCTATATCTATTTCTCTCCTTTAGCTAGTGCAAAAGGTTATTAGGCGTCAGAGAGCGAACCACGATCTTCAGTAGACCGGACTGATGATCCATTACACAACGCCTACTGCAAAACCTTCGAAATTAAATAGCTATATGCTTTAAATTATTTAAAATATTTAATTAAAAAACATCCCTTATTATATCCTTAATAATATTAATAGAGTTTCTTACCCAATTCTTTTATTCCCAAAATATCATTACAATTATTTAAATAAAATAAAATGTCTGAAGAAAGCCAACAAAACAACAAAAACAATAGTGTTCTAATAAATTCAGCACAACAAAACGGAAATTTAAAAACAGAAAAATATCAAAAATATCCTGAAAGAAATCTTTTTAACCATATTCCTTTAAATTCTGCACTTTTAGAAAATATGAATAGGGGTGGTTATTTATTAAATTTGATTAAAAAATAGTTTAATTTATTGAAAAGAATGTAAAGCTTACTTTAATTTTAAATTTCTATTCGAAATTGGTAAGGTTTACGAACAAGAGAATCTTTTATTCGATGTAGATACCATATTCTAATAAAAACACAGTCTCCATTTGAATCAGTCCTAATAAACCACAAAAAATGAGTTTGAAAAATAGACCCACAGTATTTTTTTAAAACAATTTACCGATCCTTGCAAATAAAGGCATGATTAAGATTTCCTTGGCAGTTTCAAACAATTAAGTGATTTTGTGTTAAAACTTTGTTCCTGATAGTTGATTATTTTTAACAATTTATTAATTGAAAAAATTAATTTCAGCACTCTTTCAAGAAATCAAAAATCGTCAGGGAGATTTTATGCGAGCATTTAATGAAGGGGATGCTAAAGGGGCTGCTGAAATATATGATCCAGATGGTTAATAATTAAATAATTATTTTTAAATTAATTAAAAACAAAAGGTTATTTTATGCCTAATGGACATTCTCCAGTTAAAGGTCGTTCAGGGATAGAGGCATTCTTTCAAAAAGATATGGCTGATGGTGTTAGTAGTGCACAGGTAAATAAATTAATTTACCTGTACTTTTAAAAGTATTTTTAAAATTATTAAGCTAACCTCCTTTATGTAAAATCCCTGAATAATCACAAGGTTAGGGGTGTTGGGGGAGGAGGGGGGATGGGGTTCGGCACCTCCTTATCGACATAACCGATGTGTCGTTATAATAATTTTTCAGTAATTATTGTTTAATATAGATAATAACAGAAGAAGTTAATGGTTCTGGAGATTGGGCTTTTGAAAGAGGAAGTTATCATTTAGAATGGTAAAGAAAATATTTTTAATTTAAGAAAAGATTTTTTAGTGGAAGAGGTACAGAATCGGGTGCTTATTTACAAGTTTGGAAGCGAATTAATGGTGTTTGGTTGGTTCATAATGATTGTTTTAATGTTGTTCAATCTCCACGAAAGTCATAAATAATGGTGGAATTAAAATAATAATTTTGAAGAAATTTGAGGATAATCATATTTGAAAAAAGTAATCTCAACAATTAAAAATAAGCTTTAATTTTTTAAATTTAAATATGGTAATAAAAATGACTAGAATGTTAATATATTGAAGAAATAAACTGAAAGTCTTTTAGTAACTACAACATATTAGGGAAAAGATTAGAAATGACAAACTTAAAATTGAAAATTACCAAAAGAAAATTAAGATTATTTATTATACGAAGTGTTGCAAAGTGTTGACGATATAAATATTTTACTAATTAAATTTTTTTAAACCTATTGACTAACAGGAATTAAAATACAATCTAAATAAAATTAGTACATTGTAAGTAAATACAAAAATTATTTATCAAGATAAAGCTTTCAAATATTAATATATTAGTTTTCAATCCTTTCCACAAATTTCTTTTCTCACACCTTCTTTGGCAAGAAATTTGGATCAATTGCATAACAAGTTCCACAACAAAGCTTAATAAATGCATACTTCACCAAAGGAATAGGTGACTAAAAATTTTAAGAATTTTGAAAATATTTGAGGTGTAACCTTGCATTTACTAGAACCATTTGTGCAGAAAGAAGATTTTGCTTTATCCACACATGCTTAAGTAAAAGAGATTATTATGAAGTAGGTAGATTAAGCTTACGGATGGGTGCTTTTCCTTTCTCATAAAGCATTGGTGGCGTATTTGCTTTTGTTTTTGACTTAGTGGAAGTCGAAGGCGTAGTGGGTGTCGTGGGCGTTGTTGGTGTCGTGCTTGGGGTTGTAGGTGTCGTGGGCGTTGTTGGTGTCGTGCTTGGGGTTGTAGGTGTCGTGGGCGTTGTTGGTGTCGTACTTGGGGTTGTTGGTGTCGTGGGTGTTGTACTTGGCGTTGTTGGTGTCGTGCTGGGTGTTGTAGGAGTTGTAGGTGTCGTGCTGGGCGTCGTGGGTGTTGTAGGAGTTGTACTTGGTGTTGTTGGTGTCGTGCTGGGCGTCGTGGGTGTTGTAGGAGTTGTAGGTGTCGTGCTGGGTGTCGTGGGCGTTGTTGGTGTCGTGCTTGGTGTCGTGGGTGTTGTAGGAGTTGTAGGTGTCGTGCTGGGTGTCGTGGGCGTTGTTGGTGTCGTGCTTGGGGTTGTAGGTGTCGTGGGCGTTGTTGGTGTCGTGCTGGGCGTCGTGGGTGTTGTAGGAGTTGTATTTGGTGTTGTTGGTGTCGTGCTGGGTGTCGTGGGTGTTGTAGTTGTTGTAGGTGTCGTGCTGGGCGTCGAAGGTGTTGTAGGAGTTGTACTTGGTGTTGTTGGTGTCGTGCTGGGCGTCGTGGGCGTTGTTGGTGTCGTGCTTGGGGTTGTTGGTGTCGTACTAGGTGTTGAAGGTGTCGTGGGTGTCGTTGGAGGATCTGTTTCAATTGTTCCAACTCCTTGAGACAATAGTATTACAAGGAAAAGATTTATAATTACTTTCATGATCAAATTTCTTAAATTTTTATTTTAGGTTTCGAGCAAACATTTTTACATAATTATTTCTCTATTAATTTATTTAATTGCTAATGATGTGAAATTCTGATTTAGCTCTACTTTGTACCACCTCTATTCTTTACCTTGTACCCGTTGTTTGCCGATAAACCATCTCATCTCCGACTAGTCGACTTGTTTTTGCTTTTTCCTAGGCTGGGAGGAAACCTAGCCTGCCTTACATTAAATACCCACATAACCCCACAATACCTAATTTTCTAAATATGGGGTTGGTTAAAATTTCTCTCAGTCTCCACCTATTTATATTTGTGTGGGCATCACAGTTTTTAAATCCAAATAAAATTTTAAAAAATCCAAGGAAAACAGCCAAGTAAACAATTCTCTTTTTTATTAAATAACATAAAGTACATCATCTCCATTTTAATTTTTTAAGTATTTATTTACGTAAGAATTAGAAAAAAACATCCTCAAAACCCTCCCTTAATATTTAAAAATCTAAATTTAAACTTTTTATTTACACAAATGTTTAGTTCATTTCTGTCAGTGAGCCAAAATTTGATTTTTATAAAAAAATAATTTTATATTTTAATTAAATTTTTTAATTAAATTTGATTTTTTAAAATTTCTTCTTTTACGATAATGTAAATTTATTCGATGTTTACAACAATCTGAGTTTTTAAAAATGGTTTTCCCAATAACAGGAGAAGCTTTTGAAATAAATGAAAGAAAATGGAATTTTTAATTTCATAATTATTAGGCACCCTAAATTTCCTAAAATTAATTTCCCTTGTCCCCATTACAAAGTACATAGATATGAAATATTAAATTATCCGACATCTAAAATAATGGAAATAAATTTAATCAAAATTTTAAATGAAGTCAAAAAATATTGAAAATATCAAAACAGGTATATTTAAATATCATCCCCATCGCCGTCTTCCTTTCCAACCATTTTGTCCTCCACATCCATATTTTCTGCTCCAATTGAATTTTCTTCTCCATCCAGAATAGCCATAACCATCACCACCTCCATTACCCCAGCTCCCAGGCCAGTAACGAATTCTTCGATCACTTTAATATTTTTTAATTAACGGAATTTAATAAGATCATAAATATTATCTTGAATTAAATAAGTAATCTCAGTTTTACTCAACATTGAATATAAAAATAAATAAATTAAAATTATCATTACAAAAAATATTTTTAGTTTAATTTAAAAAGTTAGATCAGAAATAAATTTAGGTAAATTTTCCTTTTAATTGTTAATAAATTATTCTTTAAAATTATGAAAAAAAAGTCTGTCAAAAATTAAGAATTGATTTAATTTCAAAAATAATTATTTTATTTTATTACACAAAAATGTACTTTAAATTAGTCGCTTTTAAATTATTTACATTCTTTTACAATTAAAAAAATAAGTTTAGACTTGAAGATATTAATAGGTATTTCTGTTAGGGGTTTTCGAAAAATCTTTCATAAGCGACAGTTGATGCAACAACAATTAATAGTATTTTTAAGAGTATAATTAGATTATAATTAATTACTTTTTCTTAAATTATAAATAAGAAAATTATCTTTTTTTATTTCAAAACAATTTAAAGTTAATTTTTTGTGTAATAAAATAATGAATTATTTTTAAGATTAAATTAAAGTCTCTATTTTTTGATAGGTAGGACTTGTTCCCTTAATAATTACACATTAACTACTTAAAATAAATTAATAGTAGACATTAACTTAAAAAATTTTATTTTTTATTAAAACGTTAAATTATAAACTAAAAATATTTTTTTATGTTAATGATAATTTTAATTTTTTTATTTTTATTTAAATATTCATTGGAGAGTAAAGAAGCTAATAATTTATTTGAAAATAATATTTATGAATTGAAACTGTTAAGTTATTTAATTAATTATAATAATTAATTTTGTTTTTATCACATTTTTTAAAATGAATTTTGATTAATTTTTCATTAATTTCTTTAAGAAATATTTAAAATAATTTTTAAAAATTATTAAAGTGATCGAAAAGTTCGTTACTGGCCAGGAAATTGGGGTGATGGAGGAGGAGATGGAGCGGGAGGTGGATGGGGAAGAAGATACAATTGGGGAAGACAATATGGTTCGGGAGGAAGATACAATTGGGGATAATTGAAAAAATAAATTTTTTTATATTTTTTAAAATTTTTATTGATTTTTATCTATTTTTAAATAAAAAAGTTTAGATATCTTACCAATTATTTATGAATTAAGAAAATTCTAAAACAAAATGTTTAATTATTTTTAAATATAATTTAATTGTAAAATCCTTCGAAATCACCTCTACCAAAGTGTTTTAAATTAATTATTTTCCATGCTGTTTGAGAAACTTTTGAAGATGATTGATGTTACTAATAGAAAAATTGAGATATATCTTGATAAAGCAAAATAGTATTAAGAGAGGATAATGTAATTTCTATTTTTAGAATTACCCAATAGTTCGTGCCATTTACTAATTTTTAAAATAAATAAGAATGGGTAATTCTGATGTTTTAAAATATTTTTTAAATTTTTTTAATTATCAAAAATTTTTTCACAAAATATTCAACATGAAAAATCAAAATTTTATTGAAAGATTCACACTCAAAATTTTTTTTCTAAAAACCATTTTTATTGCCAAACATTTGACAAGTAAGAATAAATAAAACGGAAAAAATTTTCATATGAATTTACACAAATTTATAAAAAAACAAAACAAATAATTAAATAAAGAGTGAAGGAAATTTGGTATATTCAAGTAATAAAATTAAGGAAATTCTAAAGAATAATTTAAAAAAAAAAAGAAATATCCACGTATTTAACAAAAATTTTATTAAAATTTGTTGGAAAATTAGTGACGTCAGGAAGAGTTGGGTAAAGATGGTAAAATACGGAAGGAATTAATTCAAGAATTATTTTTTGCCTGAGGCTGGCTCCCGGTATTGGTCGATAAACTCCCGACTTTTCTGGATCTGGATCTTTTTATACCGATAAAAAGATTAATTATTTTATAATTAGTATTCAGCTTATGTAAGGAACGTTTATAATTAGGGAAATTCTCTTGGTCTTAAATTTAAGGGTGCTTTGGAATCGGGAATTTTCAATTAAATTTTAATTCCCCATTCGGGAATTAGAACAAATAGATCCCTAGTGTATTGTCCATATTTCAGTGCCACATATTTTAAGCTTTTTTGAACATTTAACAAAAAAAACTTTAAATAATAAAAAATTAAATTCTAAATAAAATAAATATTATAATATCTAAAAAATAGTAAATAGAATGACAAATTTTATTTGAGGAAATTTAAAAATAAAAAATTAACACTATTTACCTTACATCATGGGATTTACTTCCTTAGTAAAGAAAAGAAGCCACGTATTAAAATGTCTAAGTTTTTTAAATAAGATTTTGAAAAGTAAAAAAAGTTTTCCAAAAGGGATTGTATAGAATATCAAATGTTTAGATTGTATGTACATAAAATGACATATTAAAAAGGTTGCATATAAAAGCAGGTAGATCGAACAGTTAAATCATTACATATTAAATAAAACAAGGAAACAATAACAAAATGAAGGTAATAATTAATATTATAATTTAAATTAATGAATAAAATTAAGGTCCTTGCAATTATCTTATTACAATTGTGTATGTGTTCTGTGATAGAATCGTACAAAGGTAGGATTAAAAAATTGACAAATGAAAATTTTTAAATAAAGATTGCTGTGACAAATATAAATCAAACTGCAAGGAATGCAGTTATGGGCAGGTATGTAATGATTATGGTGATTGTGTACCATCTAAGACTACTAAAACCACAACACCTACAACAACTACTACACCTACTACAACCACAACTCCAACTACAACCACAACCCCTACTACAACTACTACACCTACTACAACTACAAGCCCAACTACAACCACAACCCCTACTACAACCACAACCCCTACTACAACTACTACACCTACTACAACTACAAGCCCAACTACAACCACAACCCCTACTACAACCACAACCCCTACTACAACTACTACACCTACTACAACTACAAGCCCAACTACAACCACAACCCCTACTACAACTACTACACCTACTACAACTACAACCCCAACTACAACCACAACTCCAACAACCACTACAACTCCAAACAATAAAAAATGTTGTGATGAGGATTATAATTGTAAAATTTGCGATTATGGAGAAGTATGTGATTATGGTAATTGTGTGCCAGAACCAACACCCACAACACCAACTACGACCACAACCACTACTACAATCACAACATCTACTACAACCACAACACCTACTACAACCACAACCCCTACTACGACCACAACCCCTACTACGACTACAACTCCAACTACAACCACAACTACTACAACCACAACCCCTACTACAACCACAACTACAACGACAACCCCTACTACAACCACAACCCCAACTACAACCACAACCCCTACTACAACTACTACACCTACTACAACTACAAGCCCAACTACAACCACAACCCCTACTACAACTCCATACAATAAAAAATGTTGTGATGAGGATTATAATTGTAAAATTTGCGATTATGGAGAAGTATGTGATTATGGTAATTGTGTGCCAGAACCAACACCCACAACACCAACTACGACCACAACCACTACTACAATCACAACATCTACTACAACCACAACACCTACTACAACCACAACCCCTACTACGACCACAACCCCTACTACGACTACAACTCCAACTACAACCACAACTACTACAACCACAACCCCTACTACAACCACAACTACAACGACAACCCCTACTACAACCACAACCCCAACTACAACCACAACCCCTACTACAACTACTACACCTACTACAACTACAAGCCCAACTACAACCACAACCCCTACTACAACTCCATACAATAAAAAATGTTGTGATGAGGATTATAATTGTAAAATTTGCGATTATGGAGAAGTATGTGATTATGGTAATTGTGTGCCAGAACCAACACCCACAACACCAACTACGACCACAACTCCAACTACAACCACAACTCCTACTACAACTACTACACCTACTACAACCACAACACCAACTACAACCACAACCCCTACTACAACCACAACTACAACTACTACACCAACTACAACCACAACCCCTACTACAACCACAACTACAACTACTACACCTACTACAACCACAACCCCTACTACAACCACGACTCCAACAACAACTACAACCCCAACAACCACAACAACTCCAACAACCACAACAGCTCCGACAACTACAACTGTGGTCACGACCAGAAAAACTAGACGAACTAGAAAACCTACTACAACCACAACTACAACCACAACCCCTACTACAACTACTACACCTACTACAACTACAACCCCAACCACTACCACAACTCCTACTACGACTACAACTCCAACAACTTCAACTACAACTTCCAAACCTACAACACCTTATTACTGTGACGAATATTTGAAATGTCCTTCTGGATATGAATGTGACCTATACGATAACGTTTGCAACCCTAAATATTAATAATTTTTACAAAATAAGTTGATTATTAACGTATTATGTATTGATTGTATATTTGAAAACATTCTTTTGATTGAAGTTTAATAAATAATTATTTTTATTCTTCTATTTTCCTTTGTTATAATCAAACTTTTTTATTTTATAAAAGATAAAGCCTCAACATTTAAATAAGTAAGCAGAATGAGGATCTTTATGAGATCTTACTCGCCTTATCGGTGATAGAGGTTTCACTTTAATCTTTTCTTATTCACAATACAAAGTTTAATCCTATATTAAATTTTAGAATTTTTGTGTGTTTGTCTGTTCCCGTTTGAATTTTGCAATATTTTTGACATTGAGTTTTGCGTTGTGTTTACTTTGTTTAGAAATAACATAATGCCCAAATACCCCCCACCCCCCCCCCCCCCCAACCCATCTTCTAGCCTAAATATATTATACTTAATCAGAACTGTTTCGAAATTCCGATTTTCGATTTTGATATCTTTGAAATATTTTCGATTTACGATTTTCGAAGATTTTTTGTTTCGAAACATCTCTGTTAATAATTCAAACATTATAAAGAAATTATTATTAAAATAAAAGTAAACTAACAAGAAAGAGAAATTTTTTCTTGCTCATATTTTTATTACTATATACATAAATAAAATTTTATTTTATACATGTATTTTAGTTGTTTATTCGAGAGTGTTAAAAATGAAATTAAAGCTAGTAACATTTGGCAGTCATTTATGGTAGAGATTCTGCGTTTGAATTTTTTGAGGCTCAGCGTGAAAATTTATTTTTAAATAGAATTTTGCATTTAAAAAGATATCTTATAAAAGTATCGTTGGACACACATCAAAATATATTTTAGTTTTTTATCGGCAAATTGTCTGCAAGACACAGCAAAAATACAGGAAAATTTTGACATACAAAAAAATTTCAAACTGTTAAAAGTAGGAGTTTTAACATGTGCTTTAAATTATTATTTTTTACTTTACTCTGTAATATGTAATATTGTTTTTGAACTCTTGTCAGTAAAACTTAATGTTTCTATTTTTCTAAGGGAACAGAATTTTGTTGAAAAAATTCGTTATATTCGCCGAAGTTATTTTTGCAATTTTTTTAGATTTAGACAAGTATTATGTTCAGAATATTTAAATAAGAATATTTTTAACGGAAGAATGTCCAAGTATTGTATAGTATATTATTCCCGAATTAGTAGAATTTTTTGAGATTTTTTTTAAATTATAGTTTTGACTAAAGATGTTAAAATTTTAGATTTCTCTAAATTTTTAATAAAATAAATTTAATTATTTTGTTTTGCCTTTTTATTCAAAATTTAAATCTAAAAAAATATTCTAACCAATAAATTATTTTTTTAATTATTGTATATTTATTCTCTCTTATTTTTAATTTCTTCATTTCTTATTTATGTTGTAGTTGTAAATATTTCAGTAGTTTTAGTGTGGTGTTTGTATCCTTCTCCTTTAGGATAAGCTTCAATTTCATTAAAGCTAATAATTAAAATTAAAACAAAAATAAAGAAAAATAATTTATTTAAATTATTTAACATCTCTTTTGTTTGAATATTTTTGGGGGTTTTTTATAAAGTTTTTAGAAA